TAGCTCAGTTGTAATATACTGACAAGGAATGGAACAGTTGATATCATGCAACTTGATTGTTCTTCACTGCTTGCTAATATACCGAGTCCGCGAAATTTCCTTTACAATTGCTGTTCCATGCAAAGTCTCTATGACCCGTAAATTTTGTGACCATGGGACAGGCTTGATTGATGTGTTGGTTTCTTTCTTGGTAGCTTTTTTAAGGCGAGTGGTCATAGAGGTTTTTTGAGTCGTTAGAACCATTCTTCTTCAGAAACGCAGATGCGTAGCGCATCATAAAACACGCTGTGAGAGTTGGGGTTTCAACGTGGTCTCTATTACTACATATGAAAGTCGCGACCCACAAGGTGTTAAATACGTACAGTCTGACTGAATCATTTTTTCTATTTTTTACCTGTAATTCTGCGGTCCATTTACATCGCCGGAATGTGTCATTTATTGACCATTCTTTTTAGCGCGATGACAAAAATATTCAAGATGCAATTTTCCAAGAGAAAGGGGCACTATCCACTATCTTTTGAAAGAAAAAAGGGCAGGGTCTAGGACCCCAGGACCCCCCCCCTTTAGTTGCGAGTCGCCTTGGTTGGACTTATCAAATAAAAACATTAGCTACAGAAGGTGAGTTATTCATCTCTTTGAACTGAACTTTTGGACATGTCTATAGGTTTTGCCACTTTGCTTGTTTCAGATACACAATCTGCACTAGAGCCTCATCTGAGTTGGTGTTCCATTATCTAAATAGAGGACCGAAGGCCCCAGTTTTAAATAAGATTATAGAGCAAGGCAATAGAAAATTGAACCTTAGTAGTGTATCCTTTAACCCTTTAGTAGGATAGACTTTTACGATCTCTGAATGGTCGTAATCTCTTGAATAAATTTATTGGCCAGACGCCTTATTTGTAGGCAATCACCATAGGAAGCCCATCTTTTTTTTTGTGTGCCCAAGATAAGGATACCAAGAATTAAGCTAGGATTCTTCCGGTTTGTGTAAAGAAAAAGATTGCTTTCTACCTGTCTGCATCCCCATCGGAAACAGCGTTGAAATCTAATTGATTTTTGAAATATCTAAAAAGACATTCAAGGCCCCCATCCTTGTCTATTCATCTGCTAGAGAAGACATTAAAAACTAGAAGCTTTATCTAGTTCAATCTTTTTTGAAAAGTGCCTTCAGATCGACATACGATCTTGGCAGAGTTTTAAAAATTATGAACTCTAATGAAACTAAAGGTCCTCAAAAAAAAATGACCTGCACGGGCATTTTATTCTAAGAGATGGATTTTTTGGAGCCCCCCCATCTGTTCTTCTCCATTGAAGGGTTGGTCATAAACGAAGGTCATTTTTTAAACTTGAGATGCATGTACTTTTTATTGTCGGCAAACATGATCAATAATTATATTGAAGATTTGACGAGGATGAAGGTAATTTTGCGCTTAGATATTCAAGTCAGGTTGCTATGAAGTAATTTTTTTGTTTGGTTCTTTGATTTTCACAAATAGAACCCTTCAAAGCTTTCTAAAGCTGTTTCAGCCTTTCCCAATTGAAATCCCCTATATAACATTTCTAATAGTGTGATATACTGCAAAAAAAAATGTAGAGTAGTTTGGAGCTGACAAAGTACGGAATCGCAGGCAGAGTCACAAACTGTACATATTAGCAAAAGTATAAATCAAATTTCAATAGTTAATTATCATATCTTGTAACGCAATTTTAAGGAAAATATACAATTCATTAATCTATTTGGATACATTCATATTATTCAAATATATAATCTCATTTTGATACTAACAACAAAAATCTATCACTAGATCAAAATATTTACTCCATTTGAATAATTTGCTCTAATTTGAATATTCACATAACTATAACCAATATAGATATACAGTTTTTTTAAAAGGATCGTCGTTATGCGACATTGGGCGTTTTACGAGGTGTAAAGTTACTTGAGAGTAACATTTTTATAGCTATTGAATACAAATGCTAACTGTATTGCTTTCAATTTTGACAGAAAGGCGAAGTTACATGTTCCTTAACTGCTAACCTTGAACGCAACCTACTTGAATCAACCTACAGTTCAGTTATCTTACAACCACGTAATTTTAAAACTTGGCAAAGCACACTGTCCAGTTTTGTATCCACGTTGCCCTTGAAACGAAATGATAACGGACGTTCTTCATTTTTTAATTTGTATAGGTGATTAGGCATTCATGTATTCTGGGTGAATAAATCCTTCCACGGGCGTTACAAAAACCTTGCATCCAGGGGCGAAACACTGTGGGGGGGTAGGGGGGGGTGCTTTGCACCCCCCAATCTATCAAAAAAGCAGATTTTTCGGGCAAATATAGCTGACCAGGTGTATCTGCGGCAAATCTGAATTTTTCTTTAGTGCACTTTTATATGCGATACTTTCTGCCCTAGGTTGTTTTTTAAATTCATGGTCTTTCTCCCCAGTCTTTTTTTTTCAAGTCTCCTCAGTCGGGAAAACAAAACAGAAACGAGGCAAGGAAAGCAACAATATACATTTCTGTCTTTCGTCGTCCACCGATTCAGCTCTTCTGAGGCTCCAACGCGCACATGTATTAGCTTTCGCCTCGAGATGAAGTCTAAGTATTTGATCGGACAGCAAAAAGTATAGGACGGGAAGTAAAGATGTTTGTATGTCGAGAATTGAAAAATGGACACTGATGTATACCCTCCCCATTACTTTTGCAAAACAAGTGAGCTCCTTTTCAAAATTTTTGTTGTGATTTTACAATTTTCCATTCAGTGCTCGGAGCTCGGAGCAGTTAAAGCATCATGAATCAAGCATGAAGGAAGGTATACCATCTGGAATAGTTGTTGAGAAAACCAATCAATATTTTCTTTCCAAATGTATGAAACTTCATTTATGAAATCAATCATTCACACAATACATCCAAAAGGAGATAGTGCGCCCAAAATTTCTTAAGGTTTACACTTACTGTTTGAAAGTATTGCACCCTTCGCTAGAAAATGGTCATACAGACGCCAAAGTTTTTTAACTAAAAAAATTTGAATAACCATAACAAGTAACAGAAAGTTTTAATCAGTTCAAGCGGGAAATAATATAAAATTTATCAAGAAATTTTAGTTAAGATATGAATTGCAAAAATCTTTCGAGTTTATTCTATTTCTGAACAATATCCATGATTACGAAAACATGAAAATTGAGCTTTGATGATAGGTATACCTGTAAAATACCTCCAATAAAAAACTTTTCTTTGCTTGAGGGATTTTGTTATGGTGAATTTAGATATACGTACTTTGTGCTTGGGTGTTTAAAAATATTGAAATTCTTCTGGAGCAACCGAAAATTGAAAATGAAACTCAGAGAATGCAACTGAAGCTCTTTTTTGTTGAAACATTGTATTCTGCGTAGCTGTTTCTAAATTCCGAAATCTCCAAGCTGTGTTTTGGTGTTCCACTTTGATTAAATTGAGACCCTACTTCAATCTCTTTTTTGAATTGCTCTCTTAATAGCTAGGTGATTTAGAAAGTGAGGACTTTTTTCTTTTATAGAAAAGACAGGCCTTACAAATGCTTGCTTTTCGGAAACAAATGTTTATAGCCAACACCAGAAAAACTAGAGGCATATTTTTTGACTTAAAACAAACAGCCTGAGTCTAAAGACCATCTCTCGGGCTTCCCGATGATTTCAACCCTTGAGGCGATGTGCTCTAAAAATGAAGTTCATGTAGGACACGCCCTTTCATCAAGCATGCCACGCCCTTTCGTCGGGCAACTAAGCTTCATACCCCCCTAATGAAAATAGTGAAGTTTCGCCCCTGCTTGCATCCCCTGCACTCCAGGGGGCGCAGACGCCTAGGGGACACAGGAACGTTGTATATAAAATTTTTTTATAGCTTTTTCTGCCTGTGCAAGATTACTGCAGGGGGCGTACGATAAATGAAAAAGGCCAAAACGATGAAACAGTGAAAAGTATTCTGCAGTTGCAATGATTCTGATATTGGATAAAGCTGGGAAAGATAGCAGAAACGCTCGTAAATACAAAAATTAAAGAAATATGAATGAAATCTTTTCCTTACTTGGTAAATCGACAGAAGGGCTCCTCGATATAGCTGAATCTTTGTATCATAGCTCTTTTTCCATTCCTAAGAGATGATGTATAAGATAATTTCTTCTCTTAACAAGTATTTATTTTGTATTCCATATAATCATGATATCAAATAATTTTAAAAAGCTAAGAAAAAAACTGAAATATGTTTTGAATACAGGGATGGAATAATACGATTAATATTGGGCAGCATTTAATGGAAAATCGAGATTGTGCAGAAAAAACTATAGTGGCGACATGTTTCGGATTATTAGTAAAGCCTGATAGTCGCTCCATCAAACAGTTTTGGGATCTATCTACATTAGCACGAAAAAACTGATATTGTGTAGACAGAAGGAGTTGGCTCTCACCTTAGGACTCCATTGGTAACATTCTCAATAGGCAAGCGGTACTGATTGGGCAACCTCAACAGTCATGGGCTCGTGTTTCTGATTGGCTTATTTCGATCCACAACTGGGTATATATATTTCCTAGCATATAGTTCGCCATCTATGTTCTGACGTTATAAACTCTAAAGAGTGTCAGACGAAAAGATTTATTTTTCTCAGATTCTGCTTTTCTCGAAGCCCTTTTTAAGAATTATACCGCCAAAAGATTGTTTGAAGGATTTATGCATTAACTTGGCAAAATGATCAATTATATCATTCTAAATCACATCCAAGAGTAGATAAAAATACCACTTTCGTGGGCATTGCTGTTGAGATGAAAGGCTCATAACTTGCAATTATTCTGTTTGATTTCGGTCAAACACTTTAAAATTGCTCAACGTAGTCTCTTTGAAGGGAAAATGTTCCGAAAGCTCACACTCTGAATCCATGAATAAAAAGTTATCATAGATCCACACCAAAAGCGTGTTAGCCGCATTGGACTTAAAACTCGTACATATCTAGGGCAAAAAGTTGAATACCTGATCAATTTCAGGTTCGCTGGAGCAAGAACATACTTTTTGGCTGCCAAAATTTTGTAGTTGTAGTTTGAGCAGCTCATTTTCATTTTTCAGCTGGTCGACGCGCTTTGTGAAAAAGATGCATGTTACATAACTGTTGCAAATCATTGTTAAAAAGAAACAATATAGCAACTGCACTAAACAAATACAGAACTCTCAGTTTGAATAGAAATAATAAGGTAGAAGATGCTGCACATTCTATTGCGAAATTTTTGCTGGTACATTTTGGCCAAAATTCTGGTTTCGGGACACGTTTTTTTTCAAACTTGTCTCTGCCGAATTGCATTAGACATAATATCTGTTGTTTTTTCTTTCTACTGACGTCTGAGTGATCTTTTTAATTAAAATGCCGAAAAACACACGCCTCTTTTCGAAAGACTACCAGTCACAATTTTATAGCAGCATTTGTCATTGCTTTGCAAAATATGCGTAGTTTTTTTCATTTCAACGAAAAGATTTGCCAATCCAACTCAATAACTTACCGACAACTCAATCTTCAAAGAAACAATTTTCTCGTTAAGTTCTCTGATTTTTTCTTTTTTGTCCGCCTTTTCAAGTGTTTCCTTACAGCTGCCAAGTTTATCTTTAAGCAACTCATTCTCTTTTATTAAACTTGCTTCCTGGAAAAAAATTTGGAGAGTGAAGAATTTTGACGAACTGTGATTTTTTAATAATATTTCCTCAGACAAATGCCGCTTTTGTCATTAAATATGACACATTTGCTGCTATGTTGTTCCTCTTAAAAGTCATGTCACTAAAACTACAAGGAGTAAATGCAGAAAAAGTATTTCATACATGGAGATCAATGCTAGAGAATATATTCAAGAGTAAACGATTTACCTTTTCGTTCATAACTTGCAACTCGCTCTTTAATGAATCTATTTCGCTTTGCTTTTCTTCAGCAAATTTTTGTTGAGATTCCTTAGAGAAAGAAGTACTAGAAGCGTGGATAAAATTTAAAAAGCAAGCATTTGAAAAACTTCATAGCGTAAAACAGAAGTGAAGTGCAGAAATTCGCGACGTAGGGACAGAAATAATTTTTCTAAAGCAGTCAAACAATTTTATACATAAAAGATATTAAAAATCTAGAATAAACAATACCAGATGTAATGGCAAGAAAAATTTCACACACAAAATGGCTGAAGCGAATAAGAAAGGATTGATATCAATAAAAAAGGGTTTGACACTGTTTTTGGAGCAATTTGTGCATAGGTATTAATACAAAATCAAAAAGAAACAAATAAAAGCGGATCATAAGAAGCTCTGGATAGAGGAAAAACTTTCAAAACATTTTAAGCAAGTGCAACGTTGACTGTGGGCATAAGAGTATGCCTGCAATTTCTAAAAATTCATTATTCTTAGCCTTGAATATTCCTTGATAAAAAGTTGAACAAAAAAACGAGGCAAAGTATCTATTTGCAATGTAAAAAGCCAACAAAATTATACCTTCAGTGCTTTGTACGCTGTAAGGGGTATTTTTGTTTCCAAGGCACCGTTGCTGTTGTTGTTGTTGTTGCATTTCGTTTCCTTGAGTAGGGTAAAATACCAATGTACACCGAAAAATATTACAACAAAAAAGAATCCTTGTTTGTTTTTAAGGTTTGTAAAAATATTTTCTTAAATTAGATGTTAAGTGAAATCATCTTTTTGCAAGGAATGGATCATTGAAAACAAAGGGAAAATACTTCAAATCTAAGAAAGTTTGCTTGATCATTTAGAAAATGAAACATTGAGAAATTGCTACCTAAACCTTGACAAAAAAAGCTAGTGCAAAAAGTTTTAACAAAAGAACAACATGTATGTTACAAGTCATCGCTATTTATTTAGGGTGAGCAAATAAAACATGCTATCTTAATCCAGATAGTTACAAAATTTGACTACAGTCGACAATCTAATGAAATATTGCTTCAGTTCTACCTCGAGTTCTTTCTTGAGCCTGTCAATCTGAGCCTCTAGCGCGTGGGTTTGGCCTCGCAATGACGAAACCAGCGGTGAATCTTCCTCTGAATTAAAAATGAATCCATTTACTATTGATGTTAGCCGTTTGTGAAAATGCGTGAAATCATCGAAGCCAAAGAACATCTTAAAAATATTTGCCCCATTTATTCTGGAGAGTGTTAAATATCAGATATTTCACAAACCTTCAAAGAGCGAAAGACCTTTCAAAGGAGATGGGACGCACTTCTCAATCTCTAGAAAACAAAAAGTTTTCCAGCTAACAAAAATGGTATCAACAAAAATTTAAAAGAATTTAGATCACTGGCAAAATTATGTAGAGAAAATGATCACTTGGCTTAGATACTTACCACTGAGGATAGTGTTGCAGTCAGCGTCACTAAAATCGAGCGGCGTTTCTTCATCAATGTCCTATTAAAACAGTGCATATCAATTGATCAAAAATCTCGAGTGCTCATTTTACAATGCTCTTGAGGGCTAGTCTTTGCGCAATCATAAGCCAGTTAATACTGGTACACCCGTTTCGTTTCGTTTGGTTCCGTTTGGTTCCGTTTGGTTCCGTTTGGTTCCGTTTCGCTCCGTTTCGTTCCGTTTTGTTCCGTAAATAACTTCAAGCAAAAAGGTTCTGCTATTGCAAAGACTGGCAACCGTTTAAGCTTGGGGACCAAATTTACTTCGTTTCGTACTCATGGAGGCAAAGGGAAAATCAAAGCAGGATTTTTCGGTATCTTGAACTATAAATTGATGGAAACATTAACTTTGTCCTGGGCTAGTGATGGATATTCACTATGCTACATTTAGGAAAAAACTACTCTGGGTTAGAAATATTAGGTTGGAATTGCAGTCAACAATAGCTTTCTATTTGTAGTAGATAAAATCTCTGTAAGAAAGTATTCAAGAAGGTTCAATTTTAGTCAGCTTTCTTGGGCAGCAAACTTTGTAAAATCATTAAATAAACTTTCAAGCTACTAGATAAACGGAGCATTACCTCTACATGCTCACTGTTTGAATTTATGACAAGTTTCTTGTTAATAAAACCTCCAGGAATGCTGCTTCCGAACAAAAGTGCTTCTGGGGGCTGTGATTCATTTGAATGAAAATACCCTTAATTGCTCTTTTTTTAGCTAGGGCTCTGAAATACAAGTCGCCATTGCATAGAAAACTTTTTATTCTTTCAGCCTTTGATACACTCCTTTCTGCCAAAATTATGGCAAAATTAATGGCATTATTTGAAATTTAACTGGGTTTGTTATACTCATGTGGAAAGGTCTTTAGAGTATCATAAAATAAAAACCTGTCGATCTTCCAGTTGTAAGCGAAGACTTCTCAACTCTTTCTGTATGACAAGAAATTGCAAATTATACTTTAAAATGACTCTAAAAACAGTCAAGGAAAATCAGAAAAATGTCTTTCTTCTGTTTTGGTTGAAAATCTACCAAAATAACTGGTTTCTAAGTCAAAAGCAATTGTTTTAGGCTATTTGCCGCTTTAATTGAACTCAGTAATAAGCTGCAAATGACTATCGTCAACAAATGTGCACCTGAATATTCGTGAGAATTTACAACAGAAGGGATGAATCGTTTATGGTTTCCGCAAAGCGCACTTGTGTTGTGTTGATAAAATTGAACTGCATTTAAGACCATAAAAAATTTATGCTTTACAGCGCATTTGCCAGCGTTTTACATCACCAGTGGGATTTGATGAGTTACAGTTTTCCTACTTGTGCGTGAACGATAAAAGCGCTATGTACATATAATTGCCGACCTTTGTGAATCAACACGCTAGTGTCAGGAGAGTCAGGAACAAACGAAGCACATTCGAAAAGGTGTTTTGTGCAGTTTTTCCCAGAAAAATTTGGCTGACAGTCCCTCTCAAATTTCTATAAATAAATACCTTTCGTGACCGAAACCAAGCCTGTTTGACTGTTTTTAAAGGTTTTCTAAATCTGAAAACTAAGATCTCTTAACACCCCTTTATGACCATACAGATAAACTGAACGATATAGTAAAGCAATATGAACGCATCAGTACCTCGGCCTTTGTTCTTTTCAATGTTTCGGTTTTCAGTTCGGCCTTCAGCAAGAAAAGCTAAAATGTCGAGAATCAAATATATGACCAGATTATTGTCAAAGCAACTAACATAAATTAAAAGGGTAAGACATCAGCACAGTACCAGTACCAGTAACAGTAAGAAAGAATCACATATGCAATATAAAGCAGTATAAAGTAACTTTAACTAATTAGCTTGGGCATTCTTCAATAGGAGGAGATGGGTTCCGGATTGGCGGGATATGGGATGGCCAGGTATGGGACGGGCTGGCTATGGGAAACGCTGGGTGTAGGCCGCACTCGACTCCTTTTTTCTTTCTTTCCAACATAATTTGATAACATACTCTGTTCTGATGGTCACTTATCACCTATATCATCTATCACGCCAATTCATCAATTAACGAGAATACTTCCTCTGTTTTTTTGGAAACTTTGAGATGCATGCATTGCTTATTCAGACATCTCAGATTTAAAATTTGACAGCATTTACATCTAAACGTTTTGAAAGCTTGCGATAAATAAATAAGACGTGCAGCAAATAAGGCCAACAGTTCTTCAAATTTGAAATAATATATTCAATACGTTTTAGAAAAAAGACTCAATTAGTACCTCTCTATGGGCTTCAATTGCCTCGCCCTGAAAACAGCGAAGATGAAAGAATATCATTCAGTGTATAAGAAATTTTTATTGCTTTCTCCATCTTTAAAAAGCAATATCAGGAAAAGTTCTTGACTGTCTATATACCTGTTTTGTTTGATGTAATAATTCGCTAGAAAGGGTTGACGCTGAGGGTAAGCAAGGGACTTGGCGCCGAACGTTCTGCCATAAAGTATCCTGTATAGGCACTTATTTGGCAAAATGAAAAAAACTTATGGGCTCCGCATTTAAGCCTTACCCACTTGAGCTTTTTCCTTGAAAAGTTTTTTGAAAAATTGCCTGGATCGTGTGAATTGACCACAAGTTACTTTGACATTGCTGGCACTATATTCAGTGTGAATTTACAGTATTCCACACAATGAATCTCATAACAATAAAGAAATTTCCAAAATTTTATTCCACAAACCCAAGTCCTATAATTCTGAACAGCTTGAAAAGGCCTAGTCGCGATCAACCAAAAGAAAGCTTTATCTTGCAAGATTACATTTGTAAATACTCATAGTCATTACCATGCCAAATTCCAGGCCACTGGGAGATTTCGGTGAGCTTTGAGAAATGCCATCTTGATATGACTGAAATCGAAGAGATTTTAGACGATCAGAATAGAGTAAATTACAAAGCAACTGCCTCTACAATGCAAAAAATAATGCTTCTTTTAAATTCAATGTCTTTGTCAAATCGTTAAAGCAAAAAATCAAAGCAATTCACTATCTGAAGGGTATCTGAATAAAAATAATACAGACTTGCTTAATTTCGATAAATGTTAAAGGTTATATATTCCTCCATTAATGGCACTCCATTCTATTTGTTAAGACGTTACTGTAACTAAAGCGCAATTGCCCAAGAAATCAAGCAATATATTGTACATAATCATAAGCAGTAGCTGAAAAAAACAAAACAATTGTAGCATTACCATTTCACCAAACGAAGATGAAGAATTCAGAGTTATGTCATCCCCTGCAACTGTAGAATCGAGCTCTGAAGTATCCTGTCGAATTCAAAATACAAATATTGTTAGGTGAATGAAAATGATCCTGATATTCTGACTGAGATTGAAAACACGATCTTTAAATACACCTTGATTTCTCTAATGGTAGCAAGGCAATGATTTTCATTCATGAAATGTGTCTCGATACACACCTTTTCGTGTCATGTTCATCAGCAAAATACAATAAAAGAAAGGTACCAGCATCTTAGCACTAAATTACAATGACATGCTACACTTACATCGTTTCCAAGTTCTTCATTTGTTCCTATCAGAAAATATATACATGATTAAAAACTTAAAGCATTTAAGCAAAATGCTTATTTATTGGTGACTAGAACATTTTATCTTCAAAATCATCACAAGCTAGAGAGGCCTCTTATTTCTCCGCAATGATTCTGAAAAGTGTGCACCTTCATGTTGTTGTTGCGCACTTTTCAACATCAACTCTCGAATAACAAAAAAGAGCAATTGGTTATTTTTAGCTTCAAGACTATCTGTTCTTATGACAATGTTTGAATCATGGTTGTAAAACAGCGGAGATCCAATCAGCATCGCCGTGAGGTCAATGGATCACTATGATTGCTCTAATGCAACATGACATAACGAACTTTGGAAATTGCATGAAAATTATGTGTTTTACAAAATTATATCGACTAATCCTTTTATTTGGTAGACAGAAACTTTTGAGAAGGGTTTCGAGAAACCAAGGCTAAATACGAACAAAAATGTTTCAAATGGGTTGACGAACCGTCTATTTTCTCTATTTGACAGTCATTGGTCATTCTTTTTGCCAGAATTTCAGCAATTTCTTGGCTTCCAGATGCCTTTGCGAATGATTCAGCTAAAAGGCAATTATGGATGAAATGCAGGTAGACCTTTTGGTTTCATGCATGTATTTAAAAATTTTACAAGAATCATTCCCCTTAGGACTTTTCTGTTCTGAACCCTAGGCGTTTTAATTGCACAATTTTTAGACAATTTTGCAAAAAGCCAAGAATACTGGGATAGCTAGTCTGGTGAAACTGCTTACACTATCAATGGGATACAAAGATCTGATCGGCTATCATGTAAACATCAAATGTGAAAACACCCAATCAGATTTCTGTGTATTATGACAGCCAGCTAATGCATACTATTACAGTGATTCTTTTAAGACATCTTTAAAAATATATAGCCTTCCTACGAGGGCTCAATGCCTTACAAAATAAAGAAAACCATCTAAATGCAAATAATTGCATGACGCATCGCTTTGCGCAAACGATTTATCCAAAGGACAAGGTTTATTCGAAATATAATGTTTCAAAAAATTAATGTATCACTTAAAAAATGTATCACTTTGATGTTCAATGGTTAAAATCTTGAGAATCTTGGTTGACATGCTGTTGGCAACGAATGGTCAACACTGCCTGCAGCAAACACTGACCTACTAAAAACTTTCCTTTCAATAAACCATCAATAATAAATGCTGTAATCAAAGCATCAGCTCTATTAATCTTTTAAGATGTCAGACAAAATAATTGCTTTTGACTACCACGGGAATTAAAGGGGAAATTGTCGTTTGGTCTACAGTAAGTGGGCAACAAAATATGCAAAAATTGTCTATAGAGCTTAAGATGGACCATCTGTCGTCTTTTGTGACATCTATTCATTATCCATCAATAATTTTCTCACCTGAGTTTCCATCTAAATCTTTAATGAAAGGATCAGCCCCCTTCAAAATCAATGACTCGACAATGTTTTGCAGCCCATATTCACTTGCATACATCAACGCAGTCCTTTCAAAAAAGATTGTATCGTTAAAAACAATCAACGTTAATAGAAAATCAACTCAAAAGTTTCGAATTGGAAACTTCTAGGTTGAAAAAGGTTCTTTGATGATAGCGAAAATGTACGACGAAAGATATCGCCAGCGTAAGTGGTCTGTAACATGTATGATGCAAGGATCTCGAATATGCTTATAAGAATGGAACAGTCTAATTTCGTCTATACAAAATAATATCAGATATTACTGCTACAGACAAGGTATTCTTATTAAACAATCTTTTGTTGGTACAAAACTTAAAAACAATGGCTTGGAAGAAGGAAACATTTGAGTAAACTGAAATTTTTCGGACACTCTTCAGAGTATAAAATGTCAGAACATAGATCGAAAACTCTACGCTAGGATATATATATATACCCAGTTGTGGATCGAAATAGGCCAATCCGAAACACGAGCACATGACTGTATAGGTTGACCAATCAGTGCCGCTTGCCTATTGAGAATGTTACCAACGGAGTCCTAAGGTGAAAACGAACTCCTTTTGTCTACACAATAGCGGTTTTTTGTGCTTATGTAGATAGATTCCAAAACTGCTTGATGGAAAGACGAGTAAGAAAACAGCTACCGCAAAGCATGCCGGTTGCTCAAAAGCCTTTAACAAGATCCAATAAGACTGAAGCAGAGTGAATAGCTATGACATTGAAAATGTTTGTCAGCAAATAAGAAAAGGTAAACTCTATCATATTTCTACTCAATGTGGCTTTAAATTAGCAGATAAGCAAATTAGCAGTTTGTCAGCAAATAAGAAAAGGTAAACTCTATCATATTTCTACTCAATGTGGCTTTAAATTAGCAGACATATAACAAAACAATGAACAGCGCTTTGAAAACAGTTCTCTCTCGTATTTACGGGCAAAGTTTGCTGCTTATTTCATTATTGCACCTGCTGAGGCTTAATCCTTAAAAGCTGGTCAAATAATTTGAAATTAGAAGCTACCATTTTAAATTACCTTCCAAGATGATCCTGATTATCAATATGTGCACCTGAACTGCATAGAAGTTCTACAATTTTTTCACTTTCACCCTGGACAGCTAATATCAGAGCGGTCCGCCCTTCCTAAAACAGAAAAATTAAATTACCCAGTGTAGACTTATAACTTACAATTTAATTTAACGAAATGAATGCACAGTTTCTCTCAAGCAAGAAGCGAGAGGTTTAAGACCGTGTAATTAGGCAATTGGTCCCGGAAAATGCTTCGATTAACAAAAGCAAAAATTTTCAAATTCAGGACGATCCAAGAGCTATTGTTGGGTCCGTGATAACGATTAAAGAAGAATTCAGATTAAAATTAAGCTGATTGAGATTAAAATGAACCTCAGCATAACAAAAATTAAAATTAGAAGTTTGATCAAGTTTGAACTTTTGACATTACAGAGCAAATTCAATCTGAAAATTGAAAAAGGCTTGCACTCTGAAGGATATTTCATGCATGCATTTCTAGAAATGCAAAAAACAGATAAATTTCTTGATCACAGCTTTTGTGGTTTTTACCAAATTGTGGGAATTATACAACAAGAAAAGTTTTTTAACTTGTTTAATGATGCCCATTTTCTCAAAGTTTGGAAATTACAAAACTTTAGCAGCACCTTTACTGAATTTTCATAACCTTCTTATCTCTTATAGGTATAAGGAAACTGTGAATGAGTGAGGCTTATAAGTGGCTTTTCATTATCATTATTATAGCATTATTTACAGTTGGTTAAAAAAATACTGTTAGTTCTAACTTGAATTAATTAAGATCAACTATTTACAAAAAAAGAAATTCTAATTACAATAAATACAATAAATATAGAATAAATACAATTCACAATGGCTTATGAAATCTCCAAGAACAGTGAAGTTGGCTTTAGTTTGTTTCCGTCAAAAATCTTTGCAAGTAGAAGGTTCATGAGATTTAGTTACCTTGTCTTTGATGTTTACAGGTGCTCCATATTTAAGCAGTAGAGCCACGGCGTCCTTATGGCAGCCACTTACTGAAAACAGAGGAGAATAATTTTTAAAGGACGTCTCGTAATGCAGCTATCCTTTTGTCAATAAGACAGATTAATGGTTTACAATTAATTCTAAAGTTTCGAACTATAAGCTATGTACCAAACTCCTTTACAGTTGGCAGATTTAGTCGTAAGTAGAGGATTGCGACAGTAAAAATAATAGGTTGAAATTTATGAAAACATAGCTTCTGACATCAAGGGTTTAATAAACCTAAGCTATTTCAATTAAAGTTTAAAGGATTACCCCAACAACATTTTCCTGGCTTGGAGTAAAAATCACGTACAATATGCACCAATCATTTTCCATGAGAAAAAATCATTTGTGTGAAACCAAAAAATTGGCAAAAAGATGGAAACTATGTCCATACACTTTAATCTACTTAAGCATATGGAAGCAAATCACAACATTTTTCAATTGAAATGACAAAGTAGCGTTTATGACATGAAGATTCAAATATGCACTTTCTAGAATAAAATAAGTATTATTTAATTGTCAAACTGACATACCAGCATGATGCAAAGGCGTCATAGAAGCTACGTCTTGCATGTCAACTGGTGACAAGCATTGAATCAAACACTTTATGCATTCTGTATGTCCCCCACGAGCCGCTAGATGCATAGGAACTTTCCCTTAAAAAGAGCACACGCGAAATTTTGAAGCAAAAGTTGTACAAGCCATTGAAATTTTACTGCTGAAAGTGGCCGCATAAAAGAGAGGCCAAGTCCATGGAACAGAATAGGAATTAGGTCGAAGGATAAATCTCGTTTTTTCCTGTGTTACTTTTAAAAGCTAAGTCACATAATAGAAATTTTGGATATCCTCTAAAACCTCGTTTTCATTTTTTCAAATTTGCTGTGACTTTGCCTGTTGCAATTTTTGGTGATTCGTTGTTGGAACTCGATTTTGTCACAGGTTTCATTGGTTTTCCCTCTACCTATTCTAAAAAAATTCCCGAGACAGATACAAGTTTCGTTGTAGGAAATGCGATAACCTTTGTCTAATCACTATTCTGTGTCCATGACTCCGGACTTTTTAGCAAGATGTATCTTAAAAATTGATAAAAAAACCATACTGCTTTACGCTTCTCCCTACTTCGAAGCTCGTGGTGTAGTTCCCTAATTGAGCGAAGTTCTTAAAAAACTAGCTTGCTGTATTGCCAAACTAGGTTCTTCATATATCCTTTTTAAGTTAAAAAGAGTCCTTTCAAAAAGGAAATTAGGTTCTCCCGTTTTTGTTGCCTCTTGAATGGTTTTTGAAGGGCTCAAATCCCATAAACTGGAAGTTTTCACAGGGACTGCTAACCCCATAGAATACCATTCAACGGGGACTAACAATAACACGCTAGCCACCTGTTGGGTAAGCGGCGACATGTTTATGGAAATGGCGTGAATCCTAGACCCCATTCAACAAATAAGAGCTACGAAAGGTTCTCAGAATAAATTCTGCAAAAAAACAGATTCAAAGTAACATAATTGATAAAACGCTAAGGGGATGAATATATTTTATATATGCAGGAACGTTCGGTTTACAAGGGATGTTTTTCTGACTACACGCTTTGAATAACTCGATAATAAATGAAAAGAATAATAACACTCTGAAAGAGAGAATACCAAAGCTTGCCTTGAAGCTATATATATATTTACACTCTCTTTGATGCATAGAACAGGACGGTTTTTTCTGTTGCAACTCCGAGCTAAATGTGATCATAAGGCAACGGATTTGATGACCCCTTTAAACGTGAAACTTAGAGTAGCAACTTAGAACCGTCCCGTTCTATTCACCAAATAGCGTGTACAGCTCTGCCAATATGGGATAGAGTACTTTATGCCAGACCGGTAAACAGTAAATTTTCATTATTTATAAATGTATATATTTCAAGCATGAAACAGATGACAAAAACTCACCACTTTCATCCATAATTGTCAGGTCTGGCTTTTCAGCTTTCAGCATTATTTTGACGCAATTGAGTTTTCCTCGCATGCATGCAAGATGCAAGCTGCGATAAAAGGAATAATAAAGTAGATTTTTATCAGGAGGGCATATATATCTATAATACTATTTCCTTGTCGCTAGACATCCCCAGTGGCAAAAGAACAACTTAATTATCGTGCTGGGAGTGAATGTTGAACTAAAAGGAGACACCAATTATGACGAAAGGAGAACTATACTTTTTTCATTTGCTAAGTTGCGACTATTGACCAAAGGAAAATGTGCTTTCTAGTGCCCTCTTATGTAACAGTAAACTTACTGTAGCCATACATTGTGATATCAATCAGACATTCCTGATTGATATCACAATTCATGGACTAATGAAAGTCATACATTATAATAAATGATAAAGAAGGAAAAAATCACAGATAGCCATTCATTGAGATATACGATATACTGGCACTCCAGTTAAATCATAACTTTTTAGCTCCAACACTACTTTAAAGATGCTCAGAAAACGCATGCAGTTGTATTTTTGAGTAGGACACTAGCCGTATCTGTAAAATGATAAAGTTTTGAAACTCTCTTGACACAGTCATATTATCCTCGTATTATCAATACACTATATAATTAAAGGTGATATACTCACGCAGTTTTGCCATTGGAATCTTTCTTCACACAAGATACATCCTTTTTCCGAAGAACTGACCTGGAAGTGCAATATTACAACCATATAGAGTTGTTGATAAAGCACTATATGAAATGTTATTTATGGTATATTTGCCACGAAAAGAATCAAATACTTTACATTCAGTGCGTTTGTTAATTCGTACAACACAGATATCTCCCTATAAAATGATTCTCTACAGAATATAGCGCTGAAAAAACAAACGGACCTGCAAAATTGTCACACAAATTTTTTTGTTCACTTGCATGCGTAATCGAAAAACAACAGTGGCTCAATTCATTGGTCCTAAAGGCTTGCTTGCAGCCTTTAGGGATGTCATGTATCATAATATACGCAATTTTGTGGAGTAGTGTTCTATATTAAGTAGGTTAAAATAGCTTGAAGACCAAGACACTCGTATGCTTCGTTCCCCTCTTGCAAGAACAAAGTGTCACAGGGGCAAATTTTTGGGATTGAGTTAGATTTTGAAGTTTGCTGATCATTGATAGAGTGGCAAAACAAATGAAGAAAAGGAAACTGGTATTTTTTCTTTTGCTGAGTTGAGACTGAGCTCTTTGAGAAAGAGACTGACCTTTTCTGAATGGCTTAATTCCAAACAGTCTCATATTACCTTCTGTCATATGAACCTTCGAGAGGAGCCTTTGATCACACAAATTCGGATTTCCTTTCTCTAAGCCCAGTTTTCTTGAAAATAATCTCAAAATCTACAATGGGTTATGTAATCATTCGCTAGAAAGGACAAATTGCATATTGTTTGAATTCAACTTTAAAATCAAGACGCGAAATCATTAAAACCATTAGAATAATGTTCCTAAAAGACTTTTCACTATGAACAACTTATAGAAATATTATATATATATACTTCAAGGGGTTATTTTAATTGGGTGTAATCACATTGCCAAATATTTAGTGTACTAGGACTGCCTGTTGTATCAATTAAAAATATCGAACGCACAAAGGAACCTACTTCAATTTTTTTATGTCATCCGTTTCAACGCTTTCCATTAAACGGTCATCATATTTTGTCCAATGGCCCTGAAAATTAGGAAGAAGGTCTCAATACAATTTCCAACAGAAGCTGCAGATGTTTTCTCGATTATATTTTCCTTCCCTCCATTTTCTTGCTGTATATTGTTGGATAAATAGGATTTAACATAACTAGGTAAAATCTTGAAATTTCTTATTTTCATCAGTTCCATTACGGACTAGTACAATAGATTATCCTATCCATTTGCTCGTGACCACCGAAGCAGTAAGACAAGCAAAAATTAATAAAATAACGACCTTGTAGAAGAATGAAATATAGGTACGACTTTTCGAGCATAACTCTTCATCAGGTTAAGCTAATTGATCAGAACTTATACTCGAAACGTCGCATTTATATTCATTCTTGTACAAAGTCGTTATTATATTGTATTAATGTTGAAAACCAGCCTGTGACGCCCCCCCCCCCACCCCAAAGGTTGGAAAATCCTATTGCAGTTGGAAAACTTAAAAGTTCACTTGGAATTTTTTCTAATTTTTATGACCAAATATGTGAATTTTATAGTTTAGGATTGTGGGATTTTTAATGTAAAAATTATAGATCTTATTAAAATTAAAACTTTGGAGCAGGCACATCTTCTAAGCGTTTCTAATTGTGAAGACCTGTCTCTACTGGATTTCAAATTGCACCATTGCATCGTTTGTTTCCTTTCTGACACGGGTTAAGTTGAATTAAATTATTTTGAACTGAGGTGAATTTCTGGATAAGAAGTTTAAATTTCAAGTAAAATGTTTGTAATTATACAGAACCTAAAAATCTAGAATAAGCCATAAAGCTATTTCCAAATTAGTAGGTACAGAAGATTAACAGGTCGAAAGAAAAAATTCATCAGGTAAAGTTGGAATTATCAACTTTCCACATCCAGCCCCCCCCCACACCCCCCAAAGTTAGCAACTTGTTTACGTCCCTGGGCACAACCTGCTCACATCGATCCTGTTTCTTGCTAAGTGTAGAGCAAACGCATGGATAAGATCAAGGACGGCAAACTGTCAATATTTGCAAGTGTCTTGTCACAAGAAAAACGATCAACTATGACATTGCCGAAACATTTGATGCAAAGGTAGTCAAACTCCAAAGAATTCACTAAATTTTGGTAGCACAAAAAGTGTTTTTAAAGTATGGTCCAGTAATTAGGGTTCAATTATGTTCATTGCATTAGCCCCTCCACACGAACAACGCTATATTATCCTTCAAAGGGACGCCTCTTCGTTTGAAATCACTGTCGGTCTTTGTCAGCGACAATTATATGCAAGTAAACAGAGCGGTCTTTCCCACTTTGTATCACATTTTTAATCATCAACAGACAAGGTTCTCAAACACGCTGTGTGGATAAAAAGCCACCAAAAGCCAGGGCTAATTGCCTATTACACTTTAAGTGCCTATTGTTACGTATCGTTTTTATCTCTAGTAGAACTGAGAAATGTTATAATTTTGACAATGCAATCAATAAAGATTATAAACCTTAAACTGATATTTGGATACTTGCAATGTCTTGATTCCACCAGGCAACAGTAAACTGTAATTTACGCTTACAGGAAACTGTAAGCGTAAATTAACAAATCACGAACACCATAATCTTATCAATGACTGCATAAGAAAGTCCAAACATTTCCTTTTAAATTACTTTAGCTAAAGCCTCTTGTGCTCAGAGGTTTTTGCACCGCATTTGATTTATAATGAAAGACAATCTGGTTAGGACACTCACCTGGGGGCTATAATTTCCACTGAAGCCAAGCTTCTTGGACAGTCGCTTCATTTTCACCACAAAATGACCCAATTCACTGTAAGTTGGGAACTTGCGGCTTGACCAGCAAAATGACTTTGACTACATTGTTCGAAACTTTGACGCCAATAATTTGAGGAAACCACAAATCCGAGAGCAAGCCTGGATTTGCGCAAGGTATCGGCTACAAGAATGACCTCGTGACCTCTCCCACTGCTCTTCCGTATTCTCCTGGGTCGCAGCAAGGTTGGTGTGGAAAACTTGATTTCTAGTGAAATTGTTCTTTTCTTGTGTATTTTCATGCTAATTAACAAAACGTCAGGAAATGCATGCCAATGTCATTGAGCACAGCTTGCAATTCAACTCGTTAACTACAGAAAAATTATTGGCCCTCCGAACTTTCTCTTTGTAGTTGGAATCCGGATACAGTACAATACACATTTCAGCTCAATACATGATATGACAATTGCTCACAATACACAGGTAAAACAAAAGCGTTTGAGGGCAAATTATATTTCTACAATCATTCCTTGTGCAATAGTTCGTTTCATTAATTTTGTTAGTTCCATTTTTTATGCAATTTTTTGTGCCAGGGTATGACTGAGGTGCAGTGCTGAGGAGAGGGGGGTCAGTGGGGTCACTAACCGGGGGCGCTTGACTATTGGGGCCCATAAATAATGCCTCAATTTAAAAAAAATTATAAGTAATAATTCTGACTCTCTGTTATCACAAACTGTCAGTACTAGAAACAATACTGACACAAGTCTATGAATTAAGTAAGGTAGAAGCAGTTTAAGTCTTTGTTAAAGATATTTTGGTTAGGAAGTTCTCACTTCTCATCTCTGAAGAAGTTGAAAAGCTTCTGAATGTGTACCAAATAATTTGATTACAGCAATACGTACAATCATTGCCAAAAGTACTTAGAACACCAAGCAATTTGTGTTGTTTTTATATTTTTCAATTCTTTCCCCGAATTTTCCTATTTTTGTTCTCCCTTCCACCCTAAACAATGTGGATATTTTAGAAAAATATCATAGAAGAAGCTGAAAAAGATGTACTTCCTAATCCCTTATGCCCTCTTGTGGTAAAAATCAACATTGTTCAAAGGGGGGGGGGGGGGGGGAATGGCTGAATTTGCCCTTAAAAACTGACGTTAGTGTACCAAGGCTTTAGGCAGGCATTGTACGTCATACAGATTTACACTATGGCACACGCATCTGTTTGCAACATTTTGTCGGTATTGGTCGAGTTTAGTTGGCAAATAAGCGTTTCCCAAGGCCTTTAAAATTTCTTAAGTCTTTCTTTAAGATATCAGTTATGCTCAAATTATATGAAATGGCAAACAGAAGTAATAGCCACCGAAGCAGTTTAGCCATCATCCTCTTCAAAAGTTTCGGGGGAGGGGAGCATTCCCCGTACTCCCTAGAAGTGTCTGTTAGGTGTACTTTACTTTTTAACTTTCGTCCCAACCCGGGACCCATAAATCCTCTCCGCGGCCCTGCTTAGGTGGACACACGTATTTAAAAAAAATAACAAAAAATGATTACTTTTAAAGCAATTCTTTCAATTTTGAAAATGTCAATATTTCAATCCTGTCGGGTTTAGTGCACAACCAGTTTTTGTTTACCAAATAATACTTTGCTCTAGAAATTCAACACGGATATATTTGCCAGTGTAAGGCTGGTTTTCCAATCGAGGCTGTTCTGAGAACTGTCATGGCGGATACAATCGACTTTGAGAAATCTGAAAAGTGCAACTGATGAGGTCTCAGCAAACAAGTTGCTTCCTTTTTTGATGAATTCTGAGGAGGATGACTTGGGAATTGAAGAAAATTCAGAGAATGGTTTTAAGAATTAAAACTGTGTGACTTTGAAAACATCGCAAACAAAGACCACAACACAAGCCAAATGATGATGGGCGAATCAAGTCAGACAGCGAGCGTTTCTGTTTTAAAGAGATTTGCAAAAGATAACCTGGTTGTTCAGCTAGAAGAGGTATCTATTTTTAATAGATTGACACTTTATTTTGAAAGTCTAATTCAAAGGCTTTTACGTTGATATAATCATGACAAAAAGTGGTCTTTTCGAATCTAGGAGGCCAAAACGATATTTTTACTTACTCTCTTTGAGTTGTTGTTGCTGATAAAATATTTTTTTTATACTGACAGCTTTGCTGCAGGTTCCCAATAAACGGCGTAGATAAAGTTAAAGCTAAACTGCTGTTTTGTCAGAAATCTTCTGAGCTTGTCGGAAATTTAACATGGTTTTCTATTTTTATCTAAGTGTTACATTTTGATAGAAAAGATTTTTAATCTTTGTATGGTGATTTCTTCTGTTGTATTCATCTACAAAACTGTACATAAACTCAATCCAAGCTTTATGAATGAAATATTCATACGAAAGAGCAGCCACTACCATCTTAGAAACAGTAGATTAATGAAAATCCCAAAAACTTGAACCATCAATCATGGAATCGAAAGCTTGTCCTATTTAGGATGCAAGCTTTGGAACAATCTACCAGAAAACTTGAAAAACCTAAATACTCTTAATACCTTTAAAGTAAAAATCAAACAATGGAAGGATAATTGCAGCTGCAGGCTATGTAGAACCTTTGTAGCACAGGTTAGGTTCTTGACATGAATTGTCTAACATGATTATTTTCAACTATTTATCTAATTAAATCCTAGGTATTTTAATTTATTTCTTTAAATAGCTTTTATATCACTGTATAATATTATCATTTTTATTCCTATAAATAGTAGGCTTTAATTAGCTTATCGTTTTAGCTACTACTGTAAAGAACGCCTACTTTAAATAAATGAACTATTTTATTATTATTATTATTATTATTATTATTATTATTATTATTGCTCCGAATCATATTGACAATCTTGTTCAATAAGGTATAGTACTTAAAAAGCCTTTTTCAGTGGAAAAAACAAGAAAAATATTTGAGTAGTATGATCTATGACACATGACTTTAAATTTACGACAAATTTTTGAAAAATAAGAGCTATTGTAAAATTTTTGTCAGAAAATCTAAATTTCCACCCCTCCTATGAATTTTCCTACCTATGCCACTGTTCCCATTCTTTTGGTATTTTTGGAATGTGCTGTTGGCATTGACCCATGTGAAAAAGCTTGATGCATTGGACAAAAAACTAATTTTTAATCCTTTCAAAAAATTGAATTTTGTATACATTCCATGCAATTTCTCTAATTTTAGCACCCAGGTTTCAAACCTTTTGGTATACAATTTTTCCAGCCCAGGTTTAGAATCCAAAGATAGAATAGAAACATAAAAATTTAAAGTAAAATCTTGTATTCTAGCTGGAAAACTTACATATGCTCACAGCTATGCTGGACTTCTTGTGCTCACAAATCAGACTTCTTGTTATCCAAATATAAATGAAGTCATGCATATTATGATTTAGTAATAATAATTTAATAATAATAATTCATTTATTTACAGTAGGCATTCCTTACAGCAGTAGCTTACAGCAGCAGAAACAACAACAAAATGATAAGCTAATTAAAGCCTACTACGTAATCTATAAATGGGCATCATTGCTCATAGCACAAATACTTCTGCTGTCAGCTGATAATGTGCTGTTGGTCACAGTGATGCGTCAGCAAAGTAAAAAATGTGTTCCAACCTGGCTTGTATTTTGATGCCATCCTTAATATTCAAATTAGATCTTCCCGATGCCTCATTCTATCATATAACACCCTTTTACAAACAACAACAATATCCATTTTTCAAAGGTGGTTGTATTATCACTGCATTTACCAAGCTTGAAACAACTTGTTTGTTGAGTAGTTTTTTAGTCTTGACATGGCAGAACTGGACAGGGGTGGCTTCAGTTGATATAAGCTCTTATCTAAATAATTATCAGATTACCAAATTGTCCGTTATGCTGCTGGTAAATTCAGCCATCCATCCCTCTGTGGAACTTCCAAAGATTGCTTTCAGTTTTGCAAAGGCAGTGCCAAGAACTATTTCAAGAACCAGAACCAGTTATTAAACATTTTACTGTTAGTATTGGTGAAAAGTTTGATCAGAAAAATTGATTTTAGAATGGTTTTCTATTGCTTGAGAAAGACAAAGATATGAACCTTGTAAAAAACATGTGAAGTAGTGTATGTTAGTTGGACTATATCTTCAATTATCTTGTTTTATCTTGGAAGTAATCAACAGGCAAACACTAAGTAAGACATGCATAGGTTAATTTCAGTTTCTCCAGCAACATAATTTAATTCTGTTTTTCTTTGTTTGATTATACTTTTTCACAATAGTTTCATGGAGCAAAAGACCTGGTGATAGATGAAGAGCTTTTGAGACCACTGGACCGGTTTGCAGGTGTATCTGTTCTGAAAGTGAGTATTCTCTACAGTATACCATACCAGTCATTTGTAATGAAACTTATTGTAGCTAATTAATCTTCTGACATGGGATAGTTGTTCTTGTTAGACAGTTTTAGTATCAAGTTTGGTCAAGAAGCGGAATTTTTTTGGTTCCAACATGATGGCAATTTTGCTCTTCCACTGCAGAGTTTGCAATTGAATCTCTCTACATTATTTCAGCAAGGTCTTAGGGCCTGTTTACATTGAGGCGAGATTCCTGGCTAGCTGATTTTCCCGGCAAGGCAGGTTAATTTACTGACATTATTTACATGTAGCCAGAAAACTCGGTCAAGTAGGATAAAAAGCTGCTGAAATTTCTTCTGTAAGAAATTTGTGCTCTTGTTGGAAAGGGATGGTATTTTGTTAAAAAGTCATTTGCTGAAAAGAAAAAGGATCATTAGAAAACTCAAGATACAAAAAATGCAAGATTGTTGAGAAAAAAGGCTGCACACGGTACAACACATGCGTGTGTCAGGCCATTTTATCCTGGCCAGGCAGGAAACTCTGCAATTTGCGTTTACATGAGTTGGCCAGAAAACTTGGCTGAGCGAGATCCCGCCTCTGTCTGCCGGGATCCAAACTGTCCATGTAAATGCTCAAACGAGAAACTGCTGATTTCCTATACATGCTGGGAAACTCTGCTAGCTGGGATACTCAGTTAGCCAGGAAACTCTCTTCCATGTAAGCAGGCTGTTAGTATTCCAAGCTTCTCTTGCTTGATCTATAACTTAACTTTTATGCTAAACTAATCACAACATGTAATCACAACCTGTAATTATTGATTAATCAATGACTGATATTATTAAAACTATTTATTTTTTGTTAATAATGTTTGTATTCATCACTTTTTTATTATAATGCTCTCAGGAAGGAATAATGGTTGATGAAATTTTTTCCAAAATTAAAACAATAGTTGCTATGGTTGTACCAGATTATACAAGCAAATAACAGAGTAATGTTCAAACTAAAAATTTCTCAACTTAAAAACTGTCTCTAGAAACATTAAGATGGCGCTAAACATATAAATAATTTAATGTCATAATGCTTTGTTACATTGTACTGGTTCATTTTTCATTTGCAAAATTTTTCATTGGGAAATATTGTAAGACTTTTCAATTTTTTAGCAACATGGTGTTGAGAAGATCTACAAACTTGAGGCAAAATGTGCAGATGTTGGCTGCGAAAGGTAAATGGAAAGCGATGTGATTGCCAGGGTACTTTGGTAGCTTTTTAAAGCCCTGGCAAAACGACTAAACATTTCACTCAACTTATGTTTAGTGAAAAGTTTAATGGAAAGTTTATTCGTTTTGTCACCCTGTTTAGTGTTGTTTAGTCGTGTTGAGTGTTGTTGAGCAAAGCTACATTCTGGTCAAAAATGTTTAGAGTGGTTTAGTGTTGTTTAGCAAATGTTTAGTCGTTTTGCCACCAATTGAACATTTGTTGTGCCAGCGCAGGCGCCGTAGCTATGGGAATCCAAAGGTTTTCCAGGATTTTTTTTCTCGGTTTTCCTGTCTCTACGTGACCCAAAATCTCTAGAATGCCTTCGTGAGACATTTGCTTCGTCTCTTTGTAGGCTACTGTGTCTTCTTCAACAGTCAACTTTGTTATCGATGTGCTAGAAAGTTTTTTCTTTTACCTTTCTTTTATCAAATTCCCTTATTTTTTTCCTTTATTCCCTTATTTATTTTAACATTCAACAAAACAAACAGAAAGCAAGATCCCCTACAACCCCACAGCATCCTACACAGGTCGTAGTTAAAAAATGTTGAGCAAAGTTTAGTGAAAAGTTTAGTCACGTTTTGTCACCCTCAATAAACTTCCCTCAACTTTACTAAACAAATTTTGCGTGAAATGTCTAGTGAAATGTTTGGTCGTTTTGCCAGGGCTTAAGTAAAAGGCTTTTTCAAGCACTTGAAAGGGGCAATGTACTATGACTCATTCCCTATATTTTTAGCTTGCAAAATCAAATGTGACTTTTCTGTACCCTATATAGTTAGAAACACATTCATAGAATATTTGGCAGCAATTTCAGGAGAGATAATCTACAAATTCTGGAGAATTTGTAGGATTAAAACATCTGATATATAAAGATTTTCTCATTCAGAGTACAAAAATTCAAGCCATTATAAACAAATAAACGCCAATCAAGATTCGAACATTAACTTTAAATAATTGGAAAGTTAGCAAAGTCAAAATAAAAGGAGAACGTTAAGCTGTCAACTTTAAACGTTAATATCAGCTATCTAACAGTTTTAAGAATAATTGTACATCAAGGACATTGGATGGCCGAGTTTCGTTGGCTTTTTCTCTGGGTGTGATCACGTCTTTTGATCCAAGCGGGGAGTAACAGCTTGTTGACAACTTTGAGATCAAACCAGAATTACTGACGCTTAAAACGTCCCTGAAGCAGAGTTATTTTTGCTCACAGGGAAACTAAAAATGCTAGTGTAATTATCAGCTTTTTTCAATTTCTTACTTTTTGAGGTTTTTGCTAGCTTTCAGTTATCCCAACTATTTCTAGAAACAATATCTATGAGATTATCTTCTTTGGCCATGATCCAAAATGACTCAGGTATCCTGTTCTTGGGGGCTCGTCTAAGTAACACTTTCTCTTTCTGTCTTCAGATAATGATTTTAACAACTATAAAATATTATGCTAACTAAACTAAAAAGTATAAAATATTATTACAAAAATTTGACTCACCATTACAGGAGATTAATATTGTAAGTAACTACGAAACAGTGAAGCAAAATAGATAAAGCAAATTACGTTGAGATCGAGCTCTCTCAGTAGTTGAACTAACAGGGGAGTGGGTACCCTCTGCTTTAAAGAAAAAAGCCATTTCGAAACTTTTTGCGTACTGCGGTTGTGGCATGCTATCAATTTTACTATTACTGAATACTGCTTATAAAGGTTGAATTTCTTGTCCAAACTTAACCCTTGAATGACGACAGGAGGCAAAAATTTTGTAATTGCTTTCTATTTCAGGCGGATGTATGTGACAAGGCCATACGTTTCAAGAATGAAGATGATAGTAGGTAAACAAGAGTATGAAATTTCCCCTTACACAAAGTGTAATGTTGTTTGTAGGAATTCCAGCTATCGTGTACATCTCTATTACGTGGTAACTTGATACCTGTTCCTTTAAATGTATCTCATTAAAATAATGAAAGTAATATAATGTATATTGGTGTATATATAAATTTCTGTGTACCTGTCTGTCATAGGATTCTCTATGCCTTTTCGGCAAAGCTGTCTAATCTGTCTGATAATCGCTTTAAACGTGAGACTCGGAATCGCAACTCAGAACCGTCCTGTTTTATACACAAAAGCGTATCTTGTGAAATGATATCGAATTCAGAATAATTTTGTAAGAAATTTTAAGTTATTTGAAAATAATCATAAGGTATTTAATTCAATTTTAATACTGGAAACCTCTTTATGTTACGTTAGCTGTCGTCCTTATATTCAATCTAATTTTTTTACTACAATTTCTATTTCTTGAGATCTCATGTTTCTGATTTCTATGAAATGTCTTTTTTGAACCTATTCACGCAGATCACATAAAGCTGGACAAAGAGAAGAAGCTGAATATCGATTACAGGGTTGTATTTACTCCAAAAAAGGTGCGTTTTAAATTTTGACAAGCAGATTCGTTCGTTTAATTTTCTTTTTATCAGTTTGCTTTTGGTATACTTTTTGTATTGGTATGTTTTCTGTTCTAGTTGGCTCTCTGTGACCACTACTTTGAAGAAGAAGGTGTATATGGAGGTACAATTTTGTCTATTTTCTTTATTTGTGAAATGGCGAAAAACTTTCAAATAGAAAACAAAGATTGCATTTGTAGTTACCAACTTTCACAAACTCCATTAATTCTTCTGATGATGAATGTTTATAATCTTAAAAAGAGCTATTGGTAATAATTGTTCTTTTGCTTTCTGTTTCTAGTTTATGGCAACGGTACTTTTTTATAAATCAGTGTTAAATTTTCTTTTCTCAGATGTCAAAATGGAAGAACTGCCATTAGATTTCATTGTACTTGATGATGACGTAATGTCGATGGAAATGCCTTTTTTCTTCAGAGATCTCTATTTGGTGAGTCCTATCCAACGTTGTGAAGATAAAGCATTATTTACATGCCTTTGTATGAATCGTGAAGCTGTTTAGTCACAATCATCGATTATCGATTAATATACTGCCTCGATAAATCTTAAGCTTTGCTAAATAACACGTTAATAATCTTTTTTATTCAGAATGGGGATTTAACGTGGATTTCAACTGTTGCAAGAACTATCAAAACGATCCAATCAACATTCGGCTCCATTCCAAAAGTTACCTGTTTCGGGACTGCATCAAAGGTAACCAATTTAGAAGCAGTACGCAAGTCGCTATCATGACCTATTTGTATGCTTTGCATATATTTATTTGAGCCTCAAACACATTTTCATATAAATAAAATATTGTAAAATTTTTTTGAATTTGTTTAAATACGGTCTTTATAAAAATGCCAGTTGTGGTGACAGAATAGTTTGCAAGTTGACTTGAGATTGCTGTATTCTTTGAGACTCTGCAGTTTGGCTTAACTCCTCTTGGTCTAACTTTCAGATGGTTTATGATTTACTACAAGTTATTATGGAAGATGAACGAGAATATATTCCCATTGGTGGACCAGAAATCTCCTCCCTAGTGATATTTGATAGAGGTAGATTACAGTTCTTATTCTCTTGATTGCATAATGTAACATTTCCAGATTGTACTATTTCAAATGACATGGTTTCAAGGCAATTAAATAAAAGGGCAGGAAAAAGAGGTTGTGCAACACTTAACAAAGGAATTTCCTTTCACTGTAGTTGATTTTCAACTCTCAGTGCATCCAGACACTTTTGAAATCCCAGTCATTGCCTAGCAACCCTCTAGGTACGTTATTGTAAAGAGGATTTATAGATACATTATATTGTTATATAGCAATTTTTATTGGTGTGAGGACAGCTCAGTAGTTAGGGTCACGAACAACGGATCCAGGTCCGGGGGCTCGAGTCCATAATATGATCAAACTTTCACCCAGAATGAGGGGAGTCACCAGCTCCCTTTAATTTGAGGCGTAGGAATCACAAGGTGCGGTCACATCGAGTGGAAGAACCACGACACTGCTGGATGAGCATAACTTCTCAGTGTCTTAAAACTCACTTCGGGTGCTTGATAGAAACAATAAAAGGTGAAACCTAGACTCGAAATCTTTTTTATATATTATTGGTGCTTTGGAATAAGAATCTAGCAAGCCCCATGATGTATAGCTATAAAAAATGATCAATATTTATTGCAGATGTTGATTGCGTCACTCCACTCTGCTCACAGCTTGCTTATGAAGGACTGCTTGCCGATGTGTTTGGAATCTCTAGTGGTATGGCCATAGATTGTATTGCCTATCTTTTCTTTCTGCAGGCTTTGTTTCATTCCTAGTTAAGTAATTTACTGATTGTTATTGAATTACTCAAATATGATGATATTTCTATAGCTCAAATTTCTACTGGAGGGACTTCTAAGCATTTCTTTTAAGCCACCAGTTCCGAGCCTTAAGGGCATTTTTCGCCTGAGATTGATTGTAGCTTTTTCTATGAATTCTTAAAGAGCCAAATTTGGCGATACAAATCACATAAAGTACCTTTTAGTGACTGAGAAAGCACGGCATTTAAAGCTCAAAGAATTTTTGAGAAAAATCTTGATTCATTCGTTTACTTGACAAAATGATAACTAGCACAGTTTCTTAATTTTTTATAATTTATCAAGGATATGTTGATTTTGGCAAAGATGTGACTGGAAGTGATAAAAGCACGCGTGTTTTGCTTAGTTCAGGTGACCCGGTAGGTATTCAAGAAACCATTTCAATTTCAGTTCCTGCTGTTTGGTTGATAAATTTGTTCAAGATAAAAGGAATAGTCTGAACAGTGAAATTCTTTTCGAACCCTTATATCCGTATAAATACTAAGAGACAAAGGTCATAGCTTTAAGTATTTAAACATGATTTCACAAGATCATTTTTCAGCCAAAGTAGCATGCTCTTCCTGAACATTTGTTTCATGGAAAACTAGCTTTCCTATTGTGCGCATGACACCCTTTCTGCTTACATACATAGCCTGTATGCTTTTTTGAAATAATCCTCTCCCAGATGAAGAACGTAGGTTAAATATGTCACACAGCTTCTTAATGAAATGCAATTATATTGAAAGTAGCAGCTAAAAGAACTTTTAACAGGTATTAGTGGGAAATGAAAACTTGTTTCTGTAGATAGTAGCTTTAGATTACATTTTAAAAAACGCAGAAACTAATGTTTTTAATAATAGAGCATATAGTTTTTTGAAGAAAGCAATATTAATGCAATGAAATGATTCAAATGAATTCTTTCCTCTTTACGATTACAATTTCTTGATCAAAGATAAATTCTTTTCCTTTAAGGTTTTCCAAGAAATAAGAGACAGGCATTTCACTAGTGTTTTTCCTCTGCTGAGTAATAAAGCGAAGCAGTTGCAAGTTGGATATAATGTTAGTTTTTCCAATTTAGTTTCCCTTTGCGTTTATTCGTGTCTTTTTCAATGATAGATAAATTAATGCTTTTGATAATCGACATTGTAATACCTAGCTACCTATAAGAAAGAGCAAGTCTCAAAAGGATTCTATTTGCTTTCTGTTTGATGTAACGGTTAAAATACTGCCTTTGCTTATTCTTAGATGCAAAAACAGGTGTATTTCAAGGCTTCAACTCTCCATGATACATTACATAATTGCGTCATCTATATTCAAACGCTGACAAATCTCTGCTGCCTTGGCACAACAAGTTATGCATATCTCCATATTGCCAAATATCATGTTGGTTTTGTTCTTGAATTTTCTTTTGATGTGTCAAATAGCACACTACATCAACCCATTTTTTACTATATGTAGTCCATGTAGAAATAACTACTTCAGTCCATTGTTTACTGTAATGGTTGTAAAACTTCCTATGGATGTTATTTTCATTGTTCACAGTTTGACAATGCAATTGTTTTGTCTTCTTTTTCAGAAACGAAACGATATTCAGTCTGTAAGTGATATGAAAGCCTTTGTGTCTCAGGATTTAAAAAACCTGAAACAGCAGCACAAGTCGCTGTCATTACGTAAGGAAATCTATGCATTTTTTGTTGTTGTTAGTTACATTTTTTAAAAGTGAAATCAGTATTTTTCTTAACGTTAATTACATTCATGAGCTTCGATGCGCCAGATTTAAATTTCTTTGTAAATCCCTTTTATATAGCCTGTTTATAGCTGAATCTCTTAATGTTTTGGAGCACACCTGCTGTCTTTAGTTTTGGATTAATAAAAATTTCACCCTAATTTATAACTTTCATTTGATTCCGCTCCAGATATCAGTGCCTGTGAGTCAATATTAAAGAGAAAGACCGCTGAAGAATTCGAAAAATTCTTACACATGGAACAAAGTGAGTGAATTTAAAACTTTAATCATATTTCATTTTCAAAGTTGTAGGTGAAATGTCGTTTTTTGCATTATTTCCAGTCGTGTTTGCCTTTTCTCTTGGACCGTTCCCAGTATTTCGATAAATACTTACAAGATGATTGTATCTTCAAAACTGAATTCTTTGTTCGCTTTGAAACATACGAAATAACGTATACCCCTTATTTCAACGACATATTAAGGTGACCATATGCAATGGTCCCAAAATACACCAAAGATTGTAAAATAATTTGCAATATTAAAATTTTTTAAGTTAACAATTGCTTTTGATTTATAGGTATATTGGATGACATAGAAGTCAAAGAAACGTTTGCTTTTATTGAAGAATGCATAAATAGACAGGTGTGTTGCCTTATTTTCCCTTATTTTGTCTGTTTACAGACAGTTTACAGACACTTGCTTAATCATGAAGCTATCCCCTTTCAATCCACAAGCGGTTACCCACTTGAAAGGTAGCTATTTGTTTTACCCTAATAATAACATGAGAGGAAAATGATTAGAATTTCTAAGTGTCTTTAGGTCGCTGGTTTCGGCTTGTCTGAGGTAGAGTAATCTAGATCCTAGATCCTATGTATATAATTGAGAGTCACTGTATGAATTAAATTTTGACCTTCATAACCTTTTTCGATTGGGGTTTTGTTTAGGTCATGGCAATACAAATAATAAAATGTTAGCAAATACAAAGTTATTAGTCCCTTAAATAAAACTTTTTTGTTTTTTTCCATTTGTAGGCTTCTCAATATAATGTATTACGGTTACTTTGTTTGCTTTCCCAGACGCGTGGAAGTAAGTAGTTCCATTTTTAATGTTTCCCAGTTTCATTATTTTTAGTTGAAAGAAATTGTTGTATATCACTTGTCAGTAAATTTTTGTACAAACAGCATTTTTGTGTACTACTGCACTTAAAATTCTTCCCTTTGATTCTTAGATTCAGTACCACAAATCGAGTTATTTTATAAATATTCAATTTAAACGGCATTACAACTGTAACCCATTCAATTTTAAGATATTCAAAAATTATCCATTTTGTCACTATTATTTTCAACTGCCCCTTTATCACCTAGTATAGTGCATTTTCTTCTTTAAAACTTCACTATACTTTGAAAGTACATTATCAAACTTTTCTTTTCCAGCTGCTGATGTCACTCGTTTGAAGTCACTGAAACTTCAATATCTTCAGGTATATTTTATTTCTTTAGCAGCTAGACCGGAATCTGAACTTCAAGGAAGATATCTGAAAAAAACTCAGAAAACTTTGTTTTTAAGGAGAATTAGTATCAACTCTTTTACATCGTGGGGGCGATCAACTACTTTGTAGCCACTTTTAGCCATCTTTCACCAAGATATTAATGAAATAAACATTCGTTCCATTGAAATTTGCAAGTTGATTTAATTTTGGCGTCACTATGCATTGCTCAAAAAAATTTGCATCTTGAAAAATCAGACTTTTTAAAAACACTTGCAGTTTATACGATCAACCAACTAAAACTAGTATATTTCGGACCCTATGAAGAATTTTTTGCAAAGTAATGACAGAAGGATTATTGCAGCATATTGGCTAAGTAGCCTAAGACCTAAGATACCTAACCATTAATTTATTTTGAAAGTGAGATATTTCAGCTTTTCACCCTAATTGTGCTTGAGAAAGAGGCTGTTCCTGAGAAATGTAAGAATGCCATTTTGTCATCTTTCTGACGGTTTTAAGGTTTTTTTCTTTTAAGAGCTATGGCTATGAGCACCTACTGACATTCAACAACTTGAGCAAAGTGGGAATTTTCAATGAAGGACCTGAGGTATATTTCTTTAGTTCATTTGTTTGAATATAAAAGTGGATGACAGGCTGCAACTGAAAACTTTGATCATTTTGCTCGTTGAAAACTCAAAATTAACGCACCAAATCAAGACAGTAAAACAGTCTGCTCCCCTGTTTTCTTACTAACCAGACCTCTTTTAAAGCTTTCTAAAGTTTCTTATAGAACTTTGAAATCTACAGAAACAATGTAAACATTTCTTTACTGAAGTCAACTATAGGACAGAAATCCTTTTCGTACCATGATGGTAGAGTCTGGAATTAGCAATTTGTGGAGACTAAACTGCAATCCTGCCTTGACACTTTCACAGAAGGCCTTTGATTTCTATGTTATCTATTGCTTCTTTTCTTTTTTTTAAGAGTAATATTATTAGTATTGGCTGTAAATAGGTAATTATATTTTGAATAGGTCAGCTTTTAAGACAGTATTGTTTTTGCCGATAGCTTGTCCATCTGTATAAATAGAATAAAATGAAATGGAAGTGAAAAATGAAGACCACGCCTTGTTTGTCATTTATTTTGAAGGAGGGTTCCACATGTATTGCATGTTGTTCTAATGAAGCCTAGACATTGTTTGGAATTAGGATACATGATTATCTTAAGCATTGAAGAATGAGTTGCTATTTCAATAACAGTAGTTTTAATTGCTTGTATTGTTTTAAGAAAATTTCCAGAGTTAACATGTAGTTTAACCGTACTATCGTCATCTCCCTTTTCAGAAAAAAATTCAGTTTCAACGAATAAAAAAGAAGATGGATCTTGTAAGCTTCTGTACTTTGTTTGCCACCAAGTATAGTGCATTCATAAGTAGAGAATTGTCATGGTGACCTTGGTGATGTGATGTGATTGTTGTGATGATATTCGATTTGATCAACGTGTTGTTATGTGATATGAGGAACACGTCTGTGAAGCTTATGTACACAATTTTCGTAGATTTTCCATCGAAGACCTCAACCGAATGTTTATTACGTATTTTGGAAAGAGGTTGAGGAAGTTTTTATGTCTTATGTTTATGAAATCTCATATTTAATAGTTTCTGTTTGTATTTTGTCATTTTCTCAATTTTTATTTAGGTGCCAAAGAATCCAGCAAGTATCAATGTGAAGAACCCCACTGACATGTCATACATATTTGGAGGTGCCTATACACCACTCTCTATCAAAATAATTGAGCAGGTGATTTAGCAGCAATTTCATTTCAATGCTATCAGTTTTGCTTTACCTAGACACTGTTTGGGAAATACCTGAAGTTCCAATGTTTTGGAATTGAAACTATAAGCACCTATATTGTTTGCTAAAACTTCACAATTCAACATCAATTTGTACTAGTGAATATCAGTCATTCCTTTATAACTTGCTTACATCAGTATCTTCCAGCGCACAGAAAATTAACCAATCTCGAAAAAGGGTTTACTATGAAATTGCTGTGGGTGAAATAATTTAGTTTGGATCGATACACAAGTTCAACTCAAGGCCTTGTTTTGAAAATTTTGCCAAATTTCGATGCACGACTTAATTGAGCTCATATTAGAATTTACCAACATATTTTTGCCCAGGTACAATTTTTCCTTTTCTTTATGCTTGTATTTTATATTTTTTGACGATATAAAGTTTGTAAAGTTGTAAGGAATTCGACCACCAAAATCGTTCCGGGTCGACCTTCCCCCTCAGTAGCTAATCACGGCCAAACCCTTTTGTAATATTAATCTTTGTGCCATGATCAAATAAATATCACAAGTACCTTCCATGTAGCTTAAAACTCTGGTGTGTAATACGATTTTGAAGTCAAAAATTTATTGCTAAGAAGATTGTTTTACTCGGTGTTTTGTGCGCTCTAGGAAGTAAACATGTGATTACAGATATAGCGTAATTTTCAATATTTTTGAAAATTGTTTAGTTAAGACGACTTTTAAAGAGCACATCTGTGTAAAGGTCCAGGAATTCATTTCAAATACAGAATGCTAATTTAGTATATCTTATTTGTCAGATATAAGAATTGAAAGTAAGATAGTAGAAAGGTCACAGGAAAAGCATTTTTTGAGTTTCCGAATATTTTTCTGCGTTTATTTGATCTGCTGATGGAAACAACACCTTAAGGACCTGAGCAAAAGCTCCAACGTTTGGTATGACATTTTACCTTGAAAAAATGAATTGAATACTTCACTGAACAGCATCCAGTATTAAAAGGCATTAAAATGATCAAACTCTTCTGTCCAACTTGTTCACTCATTGAACATTGTTGGACATTGTTCAGCTTATTTTTTATCGGAGCTAGGTCAGACACTACACTTTTGCAATGCCAGGTTAAATTTGATTAGGGAATGCGTTTAGCCAAACATTTCATGTTCTTGACTCATTGAGCAAGATACTGGTATGTATCTGTAGCTCGTCTGACATTATTAGGTGAGCATATATATGCTTAGTTTATTTTTTCTGTCCGCCAAACTTTTTCTATTATCTGAGTCGCCTCCAATTCCTCTCTTTCACCTCACTCAAGGACGATCTCACTCCCTGGTTCCAAAGTCCTCGCTTTTTGTAAACAAAATCATGACCAAATGAACCAATTTCCAATTTCAAGTATGCTCAATTTGTACCGAACTCTTTTAATTGCTTTTTAGTACATTTGTAAAGGACTTAACACCGTTGAAAACCTGCTGAAGCCTGAAGGAATTTCAGTTTTTGAGAATAGAAAGCCTTCTTCAGTTCGTGGTAAGAGGCAAATTTTATCTTTCTTCAAATATATGTCCTTTCTTAGCAAATTGCCGTCTCTGCACAATTGTACAACCCTCTTGTATGCTATGTGTGGTTATGTGTGTGCTTTGATCGCAAGCGGTCAATCACGTCCAGAGGCGGCGCCAGCCGGAAATATGCAAAGTGGATAGAGGGTAAGGTCCTCACCCTGTATTTTAGGTACCACACTCGAGAGGCTTAAAACGTCAATTTTTCGAAGACTGTATAATTAATAGATGAAATGGTTGATTCGTTGTTGCCTTTGTTGTCTACATATAATATGATCAAGATATGTTCTTTATGCGCCTAATAGTGGAAGTTTTCGAAAAACAGCTCTTTTGGATTCATCTACGATACCATCAAGTTCTAGTCTGTAATCAGACTTTAAAGCTAGACATCAAACTTCCATGACTAACCACCTACAATTTTTATCCATGTCTACCCCAGTTCACCCCAGTCCTTTCCACTCCATGTTCACCCCAGTCCACCAAACGGCGACGTCGAAACCACAGACATGGGAGCTAACCATGTTGTTGATTATCATTCAGTACAGAATGTTATTAAGGTAATAGAACAAGTTTAGCAATTATTTGGGTAGGGGCGCAGCCCTCTCTTCCAAAAGCCTGAGTGAGTATTTATTTATAGTTGCAGTTACTATCGAACTGTCATCATCGCTTTTTTGCAACTCCCTCTTTACTTCTTTCACTGATTTACAATCACTGCCAAAATTACTTGGAACACCTAAGACTTTGCGCTGTGCTTTTCTATTTTTCATTTGTTTTCATGAATACTACCACTTCTGCCTCCCTTTCCCCCGAAAACAATGTTGAAAGTATAGAAAAATATCAAACAATCCACAAGAAAAAGCGTACTCCATAACCCCTTTCTTTTTTTCAGGGGGAGAGGGGAATGGCTGATTTTGCCTTTGAAAACCTACGCTAGTGTCCCAAGACTTTTGGCAGTGATTGTACTTTCACTCAAACATTGCTAGGCACTTTTTCCCTATTTTTTCTATTTTTCTCATATTTCTTTCTTTGTCCTGATTTTTATTAGTGGCATCTTATTTCCCTTCGTGCACAGTAATGACTTCGAAAAATCGTCAAATTTTCTTTCATTGTTTCAAGCTTCATTGACGACCATTTATTGCAGAAAATTTAAACAAATTTACTTTGCAAAGGCTCATTTATTTTGAAACTTTTCCATTTCCTGACCAAAAAACTAGCAAAAGTTTTTCCATCCTTTACTGACATCTTTTATCCAATACTGCCCCCTTCCCCATCTCTTTTAATGCCCTTTTTTTTAAACTTGTGCTCACTATAAATCTTGCCAATTTTCTGGAATTTTTTGCTCAAAACGACCTTAAATGCCTTAATTTATGTTTGCAACACCATTTGAAAAATTTCGTATAAATTATCCAATAGTCCCCCTCCTCCATCTTTTTTAACGCCTTATTTTCAAACTTATGCTCACTCTAAACTTTTCTGATTGATAAGATGATTTTGAAATTTTTTCGACCATTATACCTAAACTTTGATTAAACCTCTTTACCAGAACATAAATTAACACTATTTGCAGTTGCTTCTTTTACAACTACCTTTATTTTGTCAATGAAAATGCCATCTAATTCCCTGTTTACTAAAAATGAGGATTTTTGAGGAAATTGAAAAGACTTCAGTTTAGATAGGTGTCTTTGAAAGCTGAACTTTCAGCTTTGATTCCACAAGGAAACAAATTCTGTGAAATGTATGATGTGTAATTTGATGTGTGATCCAACCAAATTGGAAATCTGGGAAACATTTTGGGTTATGTCACAACTGTTAAGGAAAGCACCTTCAAGGCAATTGTTTTGTACTCCAAAAATTGAAAGTGAATAACTGCCTTTGCACTCAAGCACTGTTGCATTTTTTGAGATTAGATTGAAAGACTTATCCAGTCATGAATCCAGATATATTGCTAAAAATATCACATAATTTCATTTTTATATAACAAGGTCATTTTTACAGCTTATCTTTTCCTTATATTTTAAAGCTACAAAAAGCCATTTACAACCATCTGAAACTGCCAAGAAATCAGTTCTTGTTGTGTTTGTTGGAGGGTGCACACATTCTGAGATTAGTGCTTTAAGATTCCTTGGAATCAAAGAAGGTTTGTTTTTAAATACTTAAGTCGTTTTCATTCCAGATGAAGGGTAAACTATGAAGATAATCTGCTCTATACATGGTCTTTTTTTGCTATCAAAGTCTGCAATCACCTCAAATTATAGGTTTATATAGGTTTATATCAACAAATGAGTTGTCAAGTGAAGATGCTTTTTGCTTTTTACAGAGCAATGTCACAAGTTCAAAATTTTTGTAAATTACATGAAAGCTGTGTGATATTTATTATGGTCCATAACAAATATAGGATGGCAAAAACATTAGCAAGATGATAAAATTGCTAATATTATTGTGAAAATTGCTTTTATTAAAATAAATGGTTAAAAGTACTTATCACTTCAAGTCAAATTACCATAAGAATATTAGATTAACTTTATGAATTTGATTTCCAGTCTTCAAAAGATAATACTTGTTAAAGCATTGACATTTATGTGTACAATGAGAATTTGAAAGATTATGCAGCTGTAAACATTCTCCAAACTATTTTTTCTGTTAACTGTAAACATTTTTTCTGTTAACTCAATTCTATAAGCTGTCTATGTCCAATTGTTCAGATCTTCTTGGTTTTATTTAAAATTTAATCATTAGAAAATTTTGTTTTGATATAAATTCTTCTTTTCAGGATATCACTTCATGGTTTTGACAACCAGTATAACTACTGGTGTATCCTTTGTTAAATCACTTTTGCCGCCATAAGTGCAGAACAAGATGACAAGAGCAAGTGACTGCATTTATGCTAAATATTATAATAGATACATGATTTCTTTGTTAAAGACTTATTGCTTACATTGAGCTATTGCATGGCACAGGCATCCCATAATGCATTTTGAGACAGCCTTAAATCAATTTTTGTCAATCCGTAGTAGAATACCATCATTCTTTTAATCATCACCTGGACAGTTTGCTATGCATGCAAAGGCTCATTGTTAGCATGAGTCTTTAATATGGGACTTTGAAAGCTTCCACCAGCCCTTAGTGATTTTAATAAAAAATCTACCTGTTGAAGTAAAATGAAAATTTGTTTTCATATTCAGAATTTGTTGATACACAATAGCATATCATTAATCTCTTTTAATTTTCTTGCAAAATTTTGCTAATAGTCACTGGTAGATTTTTGGTTATATTTATATAGTTCATCAAGCCATCTATTTTAACCAAATTGTGCAAGCCGTTTTAGAATTTCATAAGACTGACCATGCCCTTTTAATGAAATGGAACTAAAACACAAATTTGATTTTGAGTATAGTGATTGTCCATAAAAACTCATTGGTATTTTGTAAATTTATGTGACCAGATCTTATGTATACAATTCAATATTTATTATTGTTAATAAAAAATAATTTTGTTCCAAGTTTTATCAATTTATTACTAGAACTGTATTCTTGTATTGCAAACTGCAATTGGTCTTTTATATCATAGAAAATGTGGTAATGTCAATAGAGAATAACTTGATTATATATGTGCTTTAGTTATAAAAATAAATTTTACAGTTAATTTTTTTTACCTTGCAACTGAAGAGCAAGTTGGGTTGGTTGTTGCCTGGGTATGGCATACTTGCCACTAACAAGCTCATCGTAGTGACTATTATCATCTTCAGTACCTGTTAATACAATATTTCTTAACTGAGGAAGTTCATGAAAAGGTAAATACTCCTCTCCATATGGTAAACCTTTAAGCTGACGGGAATTTAAGTTATCAAAGCAAGTTTCGTGCTCTTCCCAATGCTTATCACAAGCTGCACACAGAAAATTTGAATCAAATGTAAAGCAAGTGCAACTTCTCACATTGCATTTACGATTGCTATTTGGGCTGTGTTCTTCATGTGTATGCTTACACCTGCATTTCGCTCTCCAAGTTGAGACATCAAACCCCCTTCTTTTTTGCAGCCACCATTCCCCTATATCTTCAGGCCTTGATGGAATAAATGCAAACTTCTTGCAAGAGCAACCTGTGCTTAAACATTTTAAGTTGTGGCTTCTTTTCTCTCGAAATGATTCATGTTCATTAAGTGAATGTCCACAGAAGCACCTAGACTCATTAGAAACTCTAATACAATCAAAATTGTTTCCAGGACACCTCCAACCAATGTAGACTCCTGTCTCAATCGCCTGTATTGCAGCCTCCCTCTCTGGGTCAAACAGTTTCTTGACCCTAGCTGCAAATTGATCTCTGTGCATGGCTCTTGCAACGTCCAGTAATTCAGCTTTTTTCGCAGGTATTATAGGTTTGACTGTATATTGATGTCGTGGCACTAAAGCTTTTGACATAGGAGATATCGATTTCTTTTCCATTTTCTGTTGATGGGGATTTGCGCTTCTACTTTTGATGACCCCTAAGTTCTGTGACGAGGCCTTTGTTGTCAGTCCTGGATTTTTCCCTTGGAGAGATACAGTCTCTTTATTGTTAAGCCGAGTACCGACGGTTGCAAGAGACGTACTGCCGATACATTGATTAGGATGATAATTTCTTGTGCTGCTTTGAATTCTAGGCAACCCTTGACCGCCTTTGCTATTGACGACAGGGTGTCGTCGTCGAGCACTCCTTTCTGGACTAACCACATGCACAGCTTCTTCATGCTCTCTGATACCTCGACGATCTAAACTACCAAATGAAAAGTTTTGGGGATTTCGCATCTCCCTGTTGGCTGTTCTCGAAGCTGGGTTTCGGGCTTTCGGTGAAGATAGTTTGCCTACAGGCGTAGCTGGACTTTTCCATTTGGTTTGGTTATCTGCCATATTTGTTATTGGAAATCGTGGTTGTTGTCTAAGCTACAATTCCTACGCAGCGACAAAATCTTTCGTGCAGCACTGTTTCAAGAGAGCGCAGAGGGACAGGTTCTTGCTCAATACTTTTGGGTGGTCTAGGGGGGTCTCCGTTAAAACTTTTGTCAATTTCAGATAAAAGCCGGTTAATGTTATGTTGAAAAACTTAGTTAATATGAAAACTGGCTTATCCTTACTTAGTGTTCTAAAGATATTGGAATGTGACATTCAATGAAAGTTTCCGTTAATGCACGAACAGTGTAAAAACCCATCAACTGACGAAAAACATGAAAATCCAAAGTGAATAATGCTTATAATATTTCCATTAAAACAGGATAGAAACCTCGCCATTTCATGTAAAAATCGTTTTGGGTGATATTTTTTCAATGGAAGACAAGTGATAATTTATTGTCCACCAAATTGCCATTATCACTCTCTGGTTCATTTTGGTTTGTTCCATAAATGTTGTCTCTTTTAAGAAAGTGCTTGCCTTACAATTACTCTAAAATCGTTTATTTTTTCAAGTTAATGTAATAGTTGAGTTGAAACTACTCTATAACATAACGGGATATACTCGACCACTTTGATGAAGTAACTAAATTCGTTTATCTGTTACAAACCGATAGAGGATGCGACAGAATATATCTCCCTTGGCCTTTTTACTAAATCTTTAATATTTCGTTTTAAGCCATTAATCTTAGTTGTTTAATGTAAAAAGATTTTCATGTTCCTTATGTCTTTTTATCAGTTGACTTTTGATGGATGCTGATGATAATAATAATAATGATAACTACCTCTAGGCCTACTTCTGGAATTGAATGGAGGTCTATAGATTTCATTGCCCACTACTTCACAAACTTCACCCCCAGATGCGACAAGTAGACGAGAGGTTGAAGACAACACGCAGTAGAACAAGGTACGCAACTTCATATTTAATTGGGTTTATGTACAAAATTGCATGGTTCCCTAGGGCAATTCTGGAATTTTTTTTAATTGTTGTATGTTTTAGAAAGGGAATCAAACAGAGAAACTACATAGAGTGTAACTGAAAATCTATTTTTACGATAACTCTTTAGCTATTTCGACTAGGACATATCCCCTTTAGTCTTTTATTTTCATAAGTCTACTGAAATAACTTGGGATAGGTAGTAATTTTGAAACATCTAAAACTTACAGCAGGCCGATACGATAGAACAATTTTGCTTAGAAATAAGTTTGGTTCTGGTTGCTAAAGACACCCTTTTCACATTGAAGTAAAAAATCTTGGTATCATGAACATTGGATAGTTTTCCACATTTTCACATTTTAGCTGCCATTGTTCATGATATAACAAATTTAAGGGCTTAGGTTTTACGCAAGTATTTTTTGTGTTTGTCAATTAAACATTCTGATCACAAGCAATTCATAACATGAACTGACATTATGTCTCCACCAAAAGCCATAACCCTGGACTTACGGTGGTCACAAACACCCAAGAACCACTTTAATTTTCTCACTAGAAACTACAGAGTAAGACGATCATAGTTTGAATTCTATCAAGTTTTGGCAAAATTAAATGAGACGCTTTGATTTTACAATACTTTTCAAAACAAAACAAAACAGAACTGAAAAGTTATGATAAGATGAGAATGCCTTGGAGAGCTGAAATATCTATGATTTTATTCGCAGCACGTTTAGACTAAGAGAGTTTTGCACTAAAAACAGCTCATTGGTTAATTTGAACTCGTTTCTAATTCAGCAAATTTTTCTCCCAGTCTTCATTACACCTCTACCGAGCCAAAGGACAACCGCAGCAAAAAATTTGGTCGGAAGTTGAAGAAATAACTAGCACGCATGCTTAATGAAATTAAATAGAAGAAAGATGTCAACTTAAAAATACATAACATATCTGGTAGACAAAATGTAGGATATATACAGGGCCTTATGCAAATTATACTTTTTAGTATTCATCGATTATGAACTTTTTGCGCGTCCATTCAAACCAATTCCTTGGATTCTAAAAGGGTGCTGCCTTCGCGTTTTCTCTGGACGTTCAAGGGCGCTTCTTAATTTTCTCTGGTATTCTCTTTCTGCTTCCTATAAGAGTAGAAAATTATCATCAGATTGTCGCATGTTAAGAATGTTGCTTGCATGAAATTAATCAACGGAGAACTTTAATATTTTTATCTTATAAAACCTGAATATAACATTAAGATATTAAGATCTCGAAGATACCCAAAGACATGCAAAGCACTCACACAGTGGCTACCACATAAACTCAAACAATTTTAAAAGGGAATGATAATATTACTTGCTTATTTGTAAACTGTTGGAAAACAATACAAACAGGACAGAAAAATAAAACGAAGGGAAGCAATAATTCACATAAATAATTTACGGTGGTCTAAACAGAGTTTTAAAATCTGAAGTTTAAAGTCTAAAAAACTCAATTTTCTACAAGATTTTATATCAAATAATTTTCTTCTCAATTATGACGTGTAACTTTGCATTGATACAAAGCTTTGATAATGAGAAAGAATTTGCCAACCTGCAAAGACTGTATTTCTTTTCTAGCCTCATCGATTTCTTGCTCTTTCTTCCTGCGTTGGAATTTGATCTGCTCGACCAGGTCCTCCTGATAATGTTTATTTTTCTGTCTAAGTCGATCCAGTTGTTCAGCTTCCACCCTCTTGTACTGCTCAATCTGCTGCAGCAACTCATGTCGTTCTTTCAAGGCGCCATCCTGCTCTTTTCTGCGAGTTTCATCTTAAAATAAAGCATAATATAAATTTTCATCTTAGAACATTTTTTCTATTCTTAGGAGCTGACTCAATGTTGTGAACAAACTTAAGAACTGACTGCCTGACAGACTCTTTGATGACCTAATATTCATAAATTGGTAAAAGCACATAGACATATATAGCAGTAACTCTGGATATTAAAGATATAAAATTGCCAGCAACTAATATCAGAATGTGCGTTTCGGTGAAGAGATTTTGGTGTATTGTTTCAATTTGAATTCCTGTTGCAACTAGTGGATTTTTTTAGATGTGAATGTAGTATGACAAGGATGATGAATAGTAGATTGAACAGAAATATTTGGCAGCACACAAGATTGAGACATAACTACATGTTAGGATGGACTTATATTTATAAGAAGGGTCACTGAATTAGACGGGACTTTTATTCATGAAATAAATTCTGAACGGCAAAACTCTGCTTTCCTTACAGCCAATAAATTTCGATTAACTTACCTCTGTGCCTCATCTGTTCTTTTCTAGTCGTCAAAACATTCTGTAATAGGGCGTGTCTCGCTTCCTTTTCCCTTTCTTTTTTCATATCACGTTTTGCATACTGTTTTTCCACTTCTTCATTGACAAGCATGTCGAACCTCCCCTCTCGATCTTTCTCTTCTTTTCTCGTCATTTCCATGTAATGCATGAAACGCTGATTTTCTTCTCGAAGTATTTTCTGTATAAACAGATTGCTTGTTCAATTAGTGCTTACACTATATGTGAATAATGTTGTGAAGCAGATATTTTTGGATAGCTAGTTTAACATGGTTCTTTTCCAAGACAAAGTATTTGAAGTGTCAGGCTAGACCTGGGAACCCGATGCGTCAAGCCAACATGTAGAACTGCGAATTTACTTTTTCACAATTATACCTGCATGGCATGGTATGGAAATCTTAAAAACTTAGCAACGCTGATAACCTTGAAATATAGAGATAAAAATTTTAAGCAAAGCTCACATAGAGCAGGCACGTTTTTATAGTCTACAGTGTAGAGCAATAGCAATACAAATTGAGAAACAAACCTTCCTGTTCTTGTCCTCAATTTCTTCATTTTTCGAATCTTCTATGACTTTTTGAAGTATTTTCATGTCCATCGCGAGGTCTTCTTGCCTTTCTCTAGCCTGACAAGAAAAAATACGTTACTTAAATTTTGAAATTTTTTTTCATCAATAAAATTTGATTTAAGATTTAAGTATCATTAAGCTGTTAGATAAATTTGTCTTGAAGTTCCATTGAGCTACATAAACTTTTTATAGCTAACAGCATTGAATATTTTTATAAAAAATAACAAACCTCCTTCTTGTCTTTCAACTTAATTGAGATATCCCTTGCACGTTTGGCAGCCATCTGTTTACGCAGCCTCTCTTCAGCTAAAAACTGTTCTTCTTCAGTCCGGATAGCAGCCTCCTGTTTCTAATTATAAGAACTGATGTATTAGTTTTCTTACTAATGCTATGATAATTTAGGTTCTAAAAACTTGATTAGAATGAAAAGGGCATATAGCGTATTTTTTTATCTATGCTGTGTTTGGAATAATTACAAATAGGAACTCTCTATACTAAAAAAGGTGATCAACTCTGAAAGCATGGAACTGATTCAAAGAAATACAGATACTGTTTTTCAAACTGGGCGAACTTTACAGGAATACAACTCCAAAGTGCAATGCGAGTTAAGAATCTAAAACATATCAACCTTCTATATCAAACTAAAGCACAAGAAAAAAAATTTGTACCAGCCACTCAGCTTCAGATTGTTTCAACTGTCTTTCCTCTTCCTGTTTTCTTTCAATGGCAGCTTTTTGAAGGTTTAGAATCTGCAAAATGAGGTGGGAAAGCTTGTGAGATTGCACCTGCTAGTTTGAGTTGGTTCAGCAATTCAAAATATTTTGGGGCTATTGGTGTAAATATTTTATAAAGAAGATAAACAAGAGAAATTACTGCTACACTGATCCATCATAAAGTGCCCGATGCAGTAAAGGTAGAGCAGTACACATTTTGGTGTACAGAACAACTCATTTCTAAGCTACAACTCTGAGTTTTATGCTTATTGTGATCACAAGCAATAGAAAAACAATGTGAATGCAGTGGCATAATTGATTGTCACAAGGGAGGCGGGAGAGAAATCACAAAACAGCCTCAACAGTGACCATTCATCAGGGCAACCAAAGAAAACATAATTCATGAGCTTTTCATAACCAATTTAATATGGTACCTTAACCATGTCTCTGTTACGTTCCATTTGTTCTTTTGCTTGAAGCTCTTCTCTGTGAGCTTTTGCCTGTCTATCTTTGTCCCATAACTCAGCATACATTTGTTCTATTTCTTCCTCTTGCTCCTTTTTCTGAACTTTTTCAGAAAGTTGGGCTTCTCTTTCAGCAAAAAGCTCATCCCGTTGTCTTTGGCTTTGAGTAGAGCGAAGTTCTTCACATTCTTCCCTGTTAAAATAAATTTTCAAGGCATACTTTTCATCATTCATATTTTTTAAAAGAAAATGGTATTTATTAACTGTCATCCTATATTTCTAGAAGAATTTATCTCATATCCAAGCAAAGAATCTACATTTTAATTCTAATCCAAGTTTTATTAAGAAGATACCTGAATTTTTCTTCTAGCTTTTCGGCAACAAATGCTCTTCTTTCTGCTTCTCTTTTTGCTCGTAATTCATTTGCTCTTTGCCTCATTTTCTCTTGTCTATCTTCAATAGATTCTTCCTTGGCTTCCATTTCTGCCAAATAGAGTTCCTCCTCTGCAATTAGCAGCTCACGCAGTCTAGTAAACATAATATGTACATTGTAGTTCCACTCCTTTACAAGCATTTTTAAATCCAACTAAATAAAAATAGTTCTTTCATTTCTATATACTTATTTAATTAAAAGAATTGTAGTTTGTCATTCCTGCTTCCTGTAAAAAGCAGGAAACATTGTGAGCAGTAATAGGCATTACAGCACTACTTTCAGTTTAGCCATGGGGGTCTATGATAAACAGGGAAGGTGGAAAATTTCCCAATTCCCAATAAACAGGACTCTATGGTAATAAATGGGTAGGGTGAAAAATTTTCCAAATAGTAAGTAAAGAGGTGAATGGCTAACAGTTCCTTCAGATTGGAAACAGAAGGAACATTATCGAGACAGTTTCTTATAGTTTTGCTGTGAATAGAAAAAAACTATTACGACATAGCAGAATAATAAAATATTTGGTGCATGTTTCAATTGTTTCCTCTTGTTCTAAATGTGCCTCCATATGCTATGATGAAATTTGTTGTATACATCTTGCAGTTTCTTGATACTAGGCTAAAAAATTATAAATGGGGAGTCTGGGAAAAAATGCCATTGGTGAATTTTTTCTTCAAACTATTGTGGACTTAAAAGTTTGTTGTGGTTGGAAGCGACATTGTTTTCTTGGATGAAAGTAAGAGAAAAAATATGGTTCAGTTTAAGCGCAAGGTATAGATACCTTACATCACTGTTGCAAAAGAATAGAATTTTCCAATTCTTCTGACTTTATATCTACCTTATGAAAAGACCACTAGTTGTTCTTTTCTTCCTAAGAAAATTTTAAAAAAAGGAAAAAATAAAACTTATAAAAAGCTAGCATGACAGAGATTGAATATATATATAAATAAATAATGGCCTGAACAATAAAAACAAAGTAACATTCAGTGTAATTACTTGTCTCGTCTTTCTTCCAAGCTAATTCTTTCATGCTGTAGTAGGGCTTCAACTCTGCGTGTAATAACATTTTTTTGAATCTTTTTATCTGTAGCTTTTTCCCATGCAGACTATAAAGAGATAAGGTGTAATAATCTCAAATAAATGCTTCTTTTTCATAGCAAATTTTTAATCGTGTTATAGGTAATACAAGTTTGAAAGTTTCCAACAATAGAAAAGGAATCTTATTGGAAAAACAATATGCAAAATGGGCACTGAGGCACTTGCATGCAAATCTTCAATCAAGGACCAACTTAGTCCAAGTAAACACAACTAGATCAAGCCTTTTTTCCAGTCTCTAGGCTTTAAAAGATCTGAAATATTTTTTAATGAACAAGTTGTGTTATAAAAGATTATGGATTTAAGTAAATTGAAATTAATATGTAACAGTCTTACTTTCAAGTCACATTGCTGTTGATATATTGTTTCTGCTATTGTTTTCTCTCTAAGCTCTTCATTTTTTCTCCTTTCCAAAATCAAATGCTCAGCTGGTATCTTGTTCTTTGGCTTGGCAACCTTATGATATGATCATAATTATTATATTGCTATGCAATAAAATGGGAATTAATCGTTTAATTCGAGTTAATACCCGCGGGGAAAGTGCGCAGATTCCCCTTTTCTAGAATCGGGTGGTCCCACACGTATATCCTTAGTAGGCTGTGGATATCATGTTACCTAAGCTATTTGCTAATCACCTTGTGGTATTTTCTAGGTGGTCTTTTCCTGGCATATTTCTTTAAGTACACAAATGCAGCTAGGGTCATGTCATATCTTGCAGCAAGACTCACGCATTGTTTGCACGCGTTTTCCCCTCCCATCCCTGTCCCCTTGTACTCACTTCTCCTCCTGCTTATATCCCGTCATATACTTCCTTCTGCCTTCTCCTGTCTCACTTCTTCTCACACAGTCATTCGATTGTGTGACAGGTGTATCAGTCTGATTATCGGGGTAAAAAACTGAGGCAGTTTTTTCCCTGGAATCAAACACCGACCATAAAATTGCGTCATTGCTCAGGCAAGACAAGGGCTGATGCACCAAAAGCCCAAAAATTTTTTTTCCTGAGATTAGGGTGTTGCTTATCATAACTAAGGGGCCCCCGCGATGGAATTAATAAGTCAGAAGTGGTTGTATTTTTCTTAAGCATATGACAGTTAGCACAATAGTTTTTTGTGCCAAAGCTTACTGATTTAATGGACATTTAAATTGGCATTCATAATGGGCAGTGAAAGGTTAAATTGATTGGAAATTCTGATTGAAACAATGGTAATGTTTAAAGTGGAATTGGTCTTCTAGGAAATGCAGTAAAAGTTTATGCACCATGCACTGAATTTGGATTAAGCATCAGGCACCGCGCAGCCATTGGGCTAGCAGGGGCTAAACCCCCACTTTTTTGCAAAAGTAGGTTAGAAAATTTTTTGGAAGGCTTACTCTAACGCAACAATAGATAGTTTACTCCTATGTTGTATTTTTGACTGGAAACCCTTTTTGTTCATTTTCTAGGTGTTTTATCTTGTTTAATTAAATGATGTATTGTCTAACTTGTTTAGTTTGGTGCTTTATTAGCCTCAAGCTAATTTTATCTATTTTTATAGTTATTGATATCTTCTCTGAACCAGACTGTTTATAAAAAATCAGTTGAAATAAGGAAGTGTTTTCTAAAAAGGGCATTTTCCGGCGTTCTAGATGGCACAGCCTCAAAATTGTTTGGGCACACCCATTTCAGCCCCTCCACTTTTAGACTGGTGTACGGTCCCTGTCATGTATATATTTGGGGCATGGGTCATTTCTTGCTCTAATGAAGCCCTTTGTGCTAGGGCAAAATATTAGCTCCTGTTAATGTGCTTGTTTTTATTGTTTTTTGTTCTTTGTGCATTGCAGTGTTCCCTATTTTCTACATTTTTATCAACTGTTTGCAAAATGAAATCCATTGGAGCTCTTGGAGCAGCCTGCTACAGTGACCTTTCCTTTTTTACATGTATTTATCTGTTCTGTCAGGGTTTCTTGCCACCTTTAGCAATGCCTCCTTTGCACAAAGGGAAAAAGAAGAAAACAGTGCCCTTCGTCAACACAGTGAAAGTAACGTTTGTATTATTTAGTGAAATAGTGTCTTACATAGTGTTTTACATGGAAGATAGGATAGGTCCTCAGAATAGGCCCAACCTCTATGGCATGGCACCCGCAAACTGAATATGCAACTTGTACCAATGTTGGGAGAGCAAAATGAAAAAGCACAAATGATCAAACATCTTTCTATTCCAGAGCTTTTTTGACTTTTTGACTACCGTTTCATAGCTGCCAAATATTGTATGGATAACTTCAGGGCTGCGTTAGGTGGTATACTGAATTTTGTGCATGCACCTGGTGATGTTTGTGGATGAAATGCTTAACAATATTGTCTGCAGCACGCAGTTCTAGATTAAGAATGAAAACGAATTGAAGTATAGCATAAATCTATTACATTGTACGAAACTGCAAATCTAGTCAATCGTTGTGATTGTCAAACAAGCCAGGAAAGCCCGCAAAACGTCTCCGTCTGCCCTAATCAAAGTTTAAAATTTGGTTTTCACCAAAACATGATTCAATAGTACTTACGATTGCCACCGAATGAGGAGTTGGACCGGTGAATTCCCGAGTCCTTCTTAAAGACTGGATCATCATTTTCAAATTTCTTGGCAAACTACTAATGGAAGGTCGTAAGTCTTCAAGAATAGTCTTCCATGATGTCTCCTGTTTCTTAGTTACTACCATCTAGGGAACTAGGAACGAGTTTGTTTGTTGCTAAGGCCCCGAGCGCAGCGCCAGTCAGACCGCAGAGGAAAAGCCGTCGTGGAGATGGGAGTGGAAAGGAGACCAATTTGTTGACAAATTTTAGCATAAACATTCGAGAAACAATAGTTTTTTAGAAAAGTTGTACGGCAACGATGCAAAAACATGTGGTATACTGTCTTATAGGTTTTTCTTGTATTCATTATCAAATAGTACAGTCTCTACCAAGCTATCTACCAAGAAGAAACACCTTTTTCAGTAACTAAAATAACTCCCTACTCAGAAGCATATAAAAATGAAAACCCGTGCAAAAATATTGTTGCACTGTTACAGAAAAATTTCAGCGCATCTGTAACTCTCAATAAAATCAACGCTTCGAAAGCTGAATGGCATCGACGTTTATTACAGAGCCTGAAAAAGTGATCAGTTCTTTTTGGACACCTTTTGAAGTATACAAATGTCGAAGAAACGGGAAAGGCAGAAAATAAGAAACGAAAGGGTATTGGGTGCGCGAATGAACTACAGACTATCACTGAAAATTGTGATAGTGATAAAGAGCCACGAAAAGATTGCAAAACGAATCAGATCTGGTTGGAGGGGCAGTATGTTCATGAGATAGATCAGCTGGTTGTTTAAGTCTGAAGGTGAAAAAGTAACTATTTACAAAATAAAAATATTTTGAATCAGAAAGTGAATTTACACAAAGTTGGACGATTTTGAACGCAGAGAGGAGACTATTTTGAATTCAGATGATCCAAAGCAACGTATTTTTTCAACGAAGAGAAAGATTCTGCATTGAATCGATTAGATAGCCAAGACGTTAAGGAAAAGAACACTAGAAAATGTGAGTTTGAATCGGGCATCTGGAAAAAGAAGCAAGATCTTGTTGATGAGAATCTGGCCTTGAATATTCATAGATCAAAACTTTATTGAAAATGTGTTTTAGAAAATAATTGAGAAAAGAGAAGAGACATCTGACACATAATTTGGGATCTAGATTGTTTTTACATTAGTGTGCCAAATTAAACGGGGCTCGTGTCCGTATAGATACCAGTGGCGTTTCCACGGGAGGGCCAGGGAGATCACGGCCCTCAGAAATTTTCTTTGCCCTTGGTTTGCCCCCCAGTTTTTTTTCAAAAGTCAATGTTTTCTTCCAAAGCTCTTCAATCGTTTTTTTTACTTTGTTAGGGTTGCTCTCTTTTTTTTGCTCAATGCAATTTTCGTTGCATTTTTTAACAAGCTAAGGACCATTTGGTTTGTAACATAAGTGAAATTTTGGCTCCTCTCTGTAGTTACTAAGAAAAATTCATTCTTAATAACACTGGTCAACACAACTTTTCTGCCAGGCGCAACCCCCATCTACATTACCTAATTTTGGGGTGTTGATTTGAAAAATGCCATCCGTTTTTTTCTAGCACATCAGGTTTTGTCTGTACAAATTTCGTCAAATTCAGGTAATTTAGCGTAAAAGGTGCGGTATTCATTAAATTTTGGTGAACACTGATACCTATATAAGTATATGACGCTTACACGATTTTTATGCTTAAAGAAGCATACTTTATTTCCAATCCTTCAACATTTTCAATAGCTAAATCATACATAAGTTTAAGGAGGGGGAGTATCCGTTGACGAGGGTTTTCCTCCTCCCCCCTCCCCCCGTATTAAGAAACGTTGAAATCGCATGACCATTGTGATATAGTGTAGTGGAATTAGGTGTGAAAACGCTCTAGCCCGGACAAAAATAATATAAAGCTGAAACTTGGCACAGATGTTCTATTCTATGTTAGGAATGACCAGAAAAAAAGCCCCATCAATTGGGCATTGGGAACTCCTTATATGGGCAAATCCCATGATCGCCGACTGATCAGCAGGGGCTCAAAACTTTTGTCGCTAAAACCACATAACATGTACATCTTTTGATAGAAAAATTCATGATGAACAACTTTTCTTTAACATGTTTGCCCTTAGAATGTGTAATTAAGCAATTAAAAGGCAATATAAAGAATAGGACAAGTGAATATAGAAAAGCGCGCGAAAAATTTGCTGACGACATTCTGCTCTTGCTGAAAACTTTCAATCTAATTCGCAACTTTTTCGACGCAGAATCAATTTAGCGTGCAGATAATTATAAAATACTTGCATTACAATGAGTGAAATGTGTGCTTTGTGCAAGGAAGGGTTCGAGAAAGAGTCAGCGGTGAAGGTAAGGGAGAAAGGACTGAGGACACTTGCCCGAGTCAGTGAATAAAGATATTTTCCGGACTTACAAAGGTACGTTTTACTAATTAGTGATGGTGATGCTATGTAATGAAATGTAATTAAGTTTGGAGCATTTGCAGTCGAGATGTATTTATAACAGAAGTCCATTGATGCAGTGGTAATTTCCTCCTCAGTAAGGGTAAAAGCGGTATTTCACTTCGAGGGTTAATAATCTGTAATTGGCCCGGTGTATTGTTATTATAGTCAGCCAGCAAATCGAACAAACAATGAGCGATTCGAAGGACTGACGACAGAATCAAAAAATTGATGAGGTAGTCAACTACTAGAAACGTAAACATGACACGTCTTCCGCTTTTATCGATGGTAAGAATAAAATAGAATATAACAAAATGTCTAGAAAGTGCAATAATGACAAAGATTCGTTCTGCTACACCTGTGGTGTATGTATGGTTGGGCACCGAAATGGTCACTCAACACATGTTGAGCAAAACAAACTGCAACAACAATGAACAGCCACAGCCACAAATCTACCGCAGTTGCTCAAATCAGTTTATTCCGGACCCCCCCACTTTTCTAAAATATGATCCTCGAGATTTGTCCAAAAACGATGTAAAACTCATTGGGGGGGTAGTATACTGTATGCTTTTGTCAATAACAATTGTAAAATACTTTGCTTTTCAGCGAAGCTAACATGAATCATATAATGGGGGAAAATTTTGCAAAAAGGGCGTCTCCCCGCATTTGCGAGTATTTGAAGGGCGTAGTCAAAAAAAATTCAGGGGGCTGCGCCCCAGACCCCCCTATCCTGACCCTAGGTACGCCACTGCAACCCTGCCTCAACGGTGCACACAACAAAATGGTCAAAGGCGGCCAGCAACATTTTAACCTCCCAAATATAAGAATAGGCAGCATTTGGCCAGGGCCGTCGGAAGTGGGGGCTAGAGAAGCAGCCCGCCAATAGTAGCCTGAGCCCCCTAGTTTGGGGTCTGGAACTCAGGCTAGCCAATACACCAATTCGACTTACGACTTCGTTTTGGAAATTTCTCCAAACTTAATTATACGACTTTTTTAAGCGCAGATTTGGTTTTATCGCCATAATTTTAGGCGGGATACCATTTTTCATATTGTTTCAGCTTGTATTTTAGATTTTACGGAGAAATGAAGTTTGAAAACTTGTAAGGGATTTGACCGCAAAAATCGTTCCGGGGGAAACTTTACCCCCCTAGTCGCAAATCACGGTCAAATCCCTTATAAAGTTTTTATCTTTGTGTCGTCATAAAATCAATATCGTGAGCAATATGATAATGAAAACTTACAATAAGATTAAAATCATTGCTCTCAATCTGAATCTGAGGTCAAAAATTTTATACCAAAAAATTTTGAAGAATTTTTCAAAACGAGGCCGTAAGTCAAATTGGTGTATAGCTGTCATACTGTACTATGTTTCCTTTTTTAACTGTAAATTCATTGAGTGACAAAATAGGTGTAAATTCAGTGCTTAGGCTTGGAAGCATTCTAGCCGCAATTAATCACATAAGCCATTACGTTGACAACGTAAGAGTTTTGTTAAGTCAAACAAAATGTAGAACTCCCTTTTATTCAATTTCATTGACAACACAGAAAAGAAATTATCAAAGAAGAATTAAGTAAAATATGTATATATTGCAATATGAATCCACAGTTAAAAACAGAAATGATGCCATACAATTCATATGGTCATCATGTACTGAAATGGTACTGGAGACGGTTTTGGAACGAAATCATAGTTTGCCTTTAGAAATGCTAAAAGACGCGATTAAAGAAGAAATAATGGAAATCGCGAAAGTAAAATCATATGCAGATAGAAAACAAACTATCAAGCACAAAAATTAAATATTTAGTGTAAATAGATTAACATTTAATTAGAGTTACGAGAAAACTAATATAGGTCTACATATCAGACGTCCATCAAATTTGCCATTTTGATGAAATTTTAGCCACCGTGTTGAGTGATACCAATTTCGTACCCTCAACACGGTGAGAGATACGAAAATCGTAATCGAAGAAAAGTCTACATATCAGATATGATTTCAGTATGACTTTCATTTTTGATAAAAGTTTAGTCATAGTGTTGTATGATACCAATAAGGTAGCTTCAACACAGTGAGAGATAATGAAAGCGTAATCGACAAAAAGTCTACATATCAGATATGATTTGAGTAGAACATTGATTTTTGATGAAAGTTTGGTCATCGTGTTGTATGATACCAATTTGGTACCCTCAACACGGTCAGAGATACAAGAGGCGTAATCGACGAAAAGTCTACATATCAGATATGAATTGAATAGAACTTTGATTTTTGATGAAAGTTTAGACGCCGTGTTGAATGATACCAATTTGGTACCCTCAACACGGTCAGAGATACAAGAGGCGCAGTCGAAGAAAAGTCTAGATATCAGATATGTTTTGAGTATAACCCTAACACTAACCCTAACCCTAGCCCTTATCCTAACCCTAACCCCAACCCTAACTCTAACCCAAACCCTAACCCTAACCCTAACCTTAAGTCTCAGATATGATTTGAGTAGAACATTGATTTTTGATGAAAGTTTAGTCATCGTGTTGTATGATACCAATATGGTAGCTTCAACACAGTCAGAGATGCAAGATGCGTTATCGAAGAAAAGTCTACATATCAGATATGATTTGAGTAGAACTTTGATTTTTGATGAAAGTTTAGTCACCGTGTTGAATGATACCAATATGGTAGCTTCAACACGGT